TTACATATGAAAAACAAATTTTTTTTTTAGTAGAAGCGAAGCGATAGTCTAAACTACGGAGAGTGAGATTTCACACACATACACAACTATGACGTGAGAATTCAAATATGAGACCTCTGATCTATAAGTCAATACTTTTTTCCCCTAGACTAGACCCCATTAACTTAATGTTCTGATTCTAGAACTACATAGATAGCATCTCCAAATTTAACTCGTAAACCTCCAAATAAATAAACAATTTATTGAATAAACTCACCATAAACAATAAAATAAATAATGATATAGCGACAGCAAGGATGAGTGGATTAGAAGAGACAACAAAGTAACTATTAGTCCTACGTAGTATTGGTACTACTACTCTTCTTGTATCCGTAAATTGAATTCCCTTTGCCGAAGAGGAGGCTCATGCCAAGGCATTCACACAATCATTGTCCCTATTTTAAATTTTTAGTTATCGCTGAGACTGAGAGAATTGTATTGTCCTTACTTACCCCTATTCTTAATTAATCCACAAAACCAAGGACTTGGTCTTCGGTTGTAGCTAAGCTAATTGAGCTTTATTTGTCATTCATTGTTAGCATTAACATGAACCGAAGAATCTGATTGAAAGTGTCCAAAGGATTGTGCCGTATCACCATTCATTATTTACTAATTAAGAACCCTTAATTTAATTATTGTAAAGGCCTGGGCCATTAATTTATTTCATTGGTTTGGAGACTGAATCAAACTTGCACCAAATTAGACATGATCGAGACCCGTATGTGATGGCCTAGAGGGAAGGGCTAGACAAAGACCCTTTTCAAGCCAATCCAAACAATAAACGCGTAATCTAATTGGTAATTAACACCCATTCCATAGACAAATCTCTCAATGTGGATTATGCCAACTCGAACAAGTCAATAGTAACTATCAGAAAAGACAACAGAAAAGATAACAAACATGCGAGGCCCATGGCCATCGCCCTCCTTGCCCACCCTCATGGCTGGCACAAGACATAAATGGGTGGACTCCACCAAGCAAATTGCAACAAGCCAAACTTTCCTGTTTGTCAGATGGGTTCAGAATAGGACATTATCTTGTCTTAAATCACTTTATGTGGTCTTCTAATCATAGAAGGCTTGCATAGATTAGGAGCATGGCTAAAGCCTATCTGGTAAACATTGTATAAGTGCAGTTTCAATGGAATACAAGGACTGTGAAAGGTTCTGTTTGAACCAAAATTGGAAATTTGGTCTAGAATGAATGAAGAATTATGGCTCATACAATATGGCCAATATATGGCTAAATTTGTTTGTTCATGACTAAGTCATCTTGTACAAAATGCCCAAATGAACAACTTCAATGTTCAAGCAAAGTATTCATGACAGCTGCAGCAAATGTTTACATCAGCAGTGGCAAGTCCTCCTTGTTTGGGCAAGAAAATCTCATTTAATGCTAGCGTCCTCTTCATGAAACTTGTTCATTTGGATGTCTACTACAACATAGCCGAAATTGACAGAATTTCGATAAGTATTGAGTCTTCAGGACATAAATACTGAAGCATATTTTCCAGCCCGATTGAGCTACAGTACCAGCCTGATGAGCCAAAATGAGAAATTTACAGAACTCAAATGAATTGGCTTGCTTCATGAAAGTTGTTTATCTAGATGCTTCCTATAACATATCCAACATTGGCGATTTTTGGATAAGTATTGAATCCTCAGAGAAGCAAACACCAGATGACAACAACAGTAGCAGCATTAAGGCCAGTCCAATGAGAACTCTCAGCACTCACATGAAGAACTTTCTTCATGAAATTTGTTCGTCTGTGTGTCTAGTATATTGTGTCCAAATGGGGTAGAATTTAGACAATTATTGAATGCTCACGGAATTAAACACTGTAGTCAGGTCGAAGGCAATGTCTGTGAACAGAGCATGTATTTAGGTAAAGCACGCTATGCTGTCTTTTTAATTTAAGAGTCCAGCCCCCTTGTTGCTTTGAACAGAGTCAATGAGCGTCTCTTTCAATTTATGATGATTTTTATTTATGATGTGGTGTATGGGCCCCTACTTTCCAGTTTAAATGGACACAAAAGCTACTTCTTGTTGTAAAGTCTAGAGTGGAGTCCACGCGTTTTGAAAAAAATGATTGCACATCCATAGGAAGCCGAGAGGCTTTGCCTATAAATGGACTTCCTCCCTTCATTGTAAGACGACACACCTTCTGAGAAGAAATGAGAGCCCCGGTAGAGAGGAAAGAAAAGAAGAGAAGAAAGAGGGAGAGTGAGAGGTGAGAAAAAGAGAGCATAGAGAAAAATTAGTGAGTCACATATATTATAAATACTAAAGTTGTAGCTTTATTATTTTACATAGTGGAAAAGTTACTGTTATTGCTTTCCGAGGATGTAGGCATGGCCGAATCCCGTTAAATATTGTGTTTTATTTACTTTACGTGCAGCTCAATATTCCTTCATATCCCGTTCATTTTACAACACGTTATCAACACGAATACTCTCGCAAACCAGTTGAGTTACCCGAATAAAGAGATAAGTCATCCACGTTTTATTACCTTCATCATTTATTATTATTATATCATTACTATTTAATTTCCACACTGACCAAACAAAGCTAGTTGGAGCTCGTGGTGATGTGAGGAGAAAATGAAATAGGATTGGGGCCTTGTGTTCAATTATGCACAAAGACCACTTTAACTTGGTAATGGTGGTCCATGTTGATTGCACTTTGTCATGCTCTTCACTACTGTATTACAATATTATCATGGCTTTTTCTCAATTTATATTTTATGCCCATTTGAAAAGGGTAAATAAATTATGAAGGGGTGATGTGCCTTATATGTACATGCCCACCTCCATATAGTACGAGGCCTTTTGGGAGCTCACTGGCTTCGGAGTTATAGGAACTCTGAAGTTAAGAGAGTTGGAGGCTAGAGCAATCCCAGGATGGGTGACCCACTAGGAAGTTGCTCGTGAGTTCCCATAAACAAAACCGTGAGGGCAGAGAGGGGACCCAAAGCAGACAATATCTTGCTATGGCGGAGCCGATCTTGGGATGTGACATTTTATTCACATGCAAGGAAGGAGCATGATCTGTAAAATTCCATTATGATCTGGAAGCCTCTGGAGAAAGAGAACAGTGCCTCTTGAGCTTAGTCATGAGCCTCTCTTGTTCTTTTAGAATCTTTTCATTGGAAATCTGCAGCATGTCAAGCCTTGTCTACGTATTAATGGAGTATGAACCCACCAGTTTCAACAAAGCTTTGTTTTCCTTTTTAAGGTTTTCAACCTCTTGCTGAGATTCATGAAGCATTCTCAGAAGAGACGAATTTTCAGTGTTCAGTTCCTGAATCTCGTTTGCTTTGGCACGCAAACGATCAGCCATGTTAGAAACAGAAGCAGCACTCTGAATGCTAAAAGCCATTGAGTCATCAATAGCCTCTTTATCATACCTTCTTGTTAATAGTATTTCATCCATAGGAGTAAGGAAATTCCTAGCTACTATGACAATAATTAATACTTGATTAAAACTCCTGAAGAGTTCAAGAAATATTTGTCTCAACTTGAAGATCGAGCATTATGCCAATGAAATTCTTGCTTATACTAAGAAAGTATTGAAGCATTTTTATGTCGATTATCCGTTGGGCACTTAAATGATTTTCCGAAAGTATATTAGACCGGACATTGTATTTTCCAGATAAAGCTCAGCTCCATCACCACCACTTTCGGATGATGTGAGACATATTTGATGCTATCTCTATATAACACCATATACAAGCATATTCTTTCAAGTGAACTTACAAATAGCCCAAGTTTTGTTGGATACGCGCACTCTGGAAATTTCTATGATTTACATAGAGATCACTTACTAGAAGTATATTTACTAATGAATTTTTGATGGCTACATCCTCCTCTCACTCTGAAAGATTTTCCCTCCAGAAACTTTGTCATGAATATTTTAAGGAGAGATATTCATTAGGGGGAGCATCCAGAAGTATGCTACACTAATTACTGTAATCTTCTTCCTTCCATCAGTTTTCTACCTCACTGGTTTCCTTCTAGCAAGATTTTATTAAGGCAATAATATGTTACTCGTGGTCTCCAAGGGAGAGTGTTGTAAAGTCTAGAGTGGAGCCCACGTGTTTAGAAATAATGAAGACTTGTTGTCCAAGTGGGTAATGTGATGATGAAAGTATTGTAGAAGTGGAACCCACATATTGGAAGGAATGATTGCACATCCATGGGAAGCCAAGAGGCTTTGCTTATAAATGGACTTCCTCCCTTCATTGTAAGACGACACACCATCTGAGAAGAAATGAGAGCCTAGGCAGAGAAGAAATAAAGGAAGAGAATAAAGAGGGAGAGTGAGAGGAGAGAAAAAGAGAGTAGAGAAAAATCCTTCAAGAGAGAAAAATTAGTGAGCCACAGATATTGTAAATACTAAAGTTGTAGCCCTATTATTTTACATAGTGGAAAAGTTACTGCTGCTGCTTTCCAAGGACGTAGGCATGACCGAACCTCATTGAATATTGTATTTTATTTACTTTACGTACATCTCAATATTCTTGCATATCCCGTTCATTTTACAACACTTGTGTGTTCTCTTTCAATTTTGAATTTTTTTAGGTTTTTTTTTTTGGTTTACTTTCATATAACACTACTATATATATATACCAACTAGCTAAGATTGCTACATACATTGAGATGTGTTTCCTAAAGTAATAGGTCTTATTGGAAACCATTGGAATCCTAACACGAGGTCCTAACACGAGGCGTTATACGCATTTAGTCTATTTGATTTGAAATTTAATTTGACTATAGAAGGATTTAAAAGATTGCTAGTGTTATATGAAATCTTTTATGATATTATATATTTCTGAGACATCACTTGTGCAATTCAAAATGAGAGCAGAGATTGCTAAGAATGCTGATGATGATCATAGCGAAATTATTATCTTCTTTGTGCATATGATAATAGGGAAGATACAATAAACATGTGAATTTTTTCTAGTCCACAATTCCAGCCTTCCGGTAGCTTTCAATGGAATCAATGAGAGTTTCCTCCACAGACCGGAAAGTCCAACCCAACCTCTGCAATTTTTCCGAACTGAGGTGCTCTTTTTCTTCCTCTGTGTGGGTAAGGCTGGCAATACAAAGGCAAGGCATCTCAGTAAACATCAACATGGATGGTTAAGGCGCACAAACTGAGAGGTGAAGAAAAATATTGGAGGGTTAGAAAAACTTACATCTTGGGATAGCTGTAGTTAGGATATGCAGGCCTCAAGTACTTCTCCACCACCTCCTCTGCACCGATAGCGTGTGATGTGCATAAATATCTCTCTCCGGCCTCAGACTTGTTGTATGCAAGAAGCAGTGCTTCAGCCAAATCACGTGCATCCACGAACGTCCAGTAATTGTATCCCAATGACTCAACCCCACCTACAGACTCACAGTATCAGACTAAGCTTGTTTATTTATTTAAATTTGAAACAAACAAGTATGATATGATATAATATAGAGCTAAGTAGATAGAGATACCTTTTACAGTCCCAACTAGCAGAAGGCTACTGGAATTCAAATTGGATTGCAAAATTGGCCCCAAAATGACAGAAGGACAAACAGTTACAACCTCAATTCCATTTCTTTTTCCAAACTCCAAAGCCTGTCTTTCTGCTTCTGTTTTTGAAAGATAGTACCATTTCTGGAGCACAAAATTAATGGTCTGGATTCAGCATAAAAGTAAGGTTCTTCATCCACCAAATATAAGTCAAAATGGACAATTACCTTGGTCGTTTTAATATATTCAGGAACAGACCAACAGGTTTCGTCCTTGACTTGACCCTTAGGCCAGTCAGGGTTCATAACAACAGCGGCTATGGAGGACACAACAACAACTCTCTTCACTTTGGCTTCGACGCAAGCCTTGAGTACATTAAGCGTTCCCGTTACAGCTGGTTCAAGAAACTCCTGCAAGGAGCAGGACAGATTGAATTATAATAGTAAATAAAAACAGCATAACTTGTATACTTTGAGAAAATTAATTAATTAAATATAATAGTCTTGCCTCAGGATCTGCAACACTATGAGCAGCTGGTACAGGACTGGCAACATGGAAGACTCCACTGCATCCTTCAACAGCCGCACGCAGAGAGTCGTAGTCCAACAAATCTGCCTTGAACAGTTTCAAGTTCTCTGATGCTTTCTCAAGCTTGTTCAAGTGAGCATACTTGCTGTCCCCTGCACATCAATACACATCTTTTATAAATTATATATAAAAACCAACTAAGAGAAGAGAAGAAAGAGACTGGCCTGGCTGTCTGACTGTTCCATGAACAACATAGTCCCTTGAAAGAAGAAGGTTAACGACCCAAGAGGCTGTAAATCCTCCAGCCCCAGTCACGCATACCTTTTCTTTCTCACCCGCCATCTATAATCTATGTATCTATCCGTCTATGTATTATTAGCTGCTGCTATGTCTTCTTGTTTCCCTTCATTCTATCTATGTCTATATCTATATATAATTAGTTAACCTTTTTTTTTTGGGTCTGAATTTCAACGACCCCCCTTAGTTAATGCATTTCTTGCATTGCGACATTTTGTTGTTTTTGATGACACAGGGCCCAAGAGCATTGCGACTTTGTTGCCTTGTTTACTCCGCACACTGGTTTTTTAAATTAATTTTATAAATATTCATGCAAGAATGTACACCATACAAATATAGACAAAATTAGCACTGGAAATAATATGAATTTACAGTATGAGAATATAAATAAATCTGACGACAGAATAGGGTTAGACTACTACTACTCGTTAACATCAGAGACGTTTTGCAATAAAAAAGCCTACGCTTTTTGTATTGTCCCTATTCTTAATTAATCTACAAAACCAAAGGACTTGGTATGCGGTTGTAGCTAGCTGAGCTTTCTTTGTCATCCATTGTTAGCACTGACAATTTGATATGAACCGAAGATTCTGATTGAAACAGTCCAAAGCACTATTTTCCCAACAAACAGAAAAGACAACATAAAAGATATTTAGTATAATATTAACTATCATTAGCTAAAGACAGAAAAGTAACATAGATAATAGGGTAGACTCCAAGCTACTTGCAACAAGCCAAACTTTCCTCTTTGTAAGATGGGTTCACAGAGCATGTAGTTACGTAAAGCACGCTCTGATATCTTTTCAATCTAAGATTCCAGCCTCTTTGTAGCTTTCAATAGAGTCGATGAGCGTCTCCTTCAATGGCCGGGCATTCCAACCCAGCCTTTGCAGTTTCTCATAGCTCAACCGCCGCTGTTCTTCTACTTCAACAAAGCTGCCAAAACATACATGTGCACAATCATCAAATTAGTTTTAGGAGAAAATCATAACGACAGGAATCACAGTCAGTTCTACTTTTGGATTGCATGACCATGATGATCAATAAAGTAATATATAGAATTTGAAAAGTCCCTCAAGAATCAACGGGAAACCTTACTTCTTAGGATAACTGTAATCAGGATAAATGCTCCTCAGCTCCTCGACGAGATCCCTTGCCTTGATATGGTGGGCGGTGCATATGTATCTTCCTTCAGCCTCGGGCTTCGCATATGCCAGAAGGACTGCTTGAGCTACATCCCGCACATCAACTATCATTCGGACCTTGTTTTCCAATGACTCATACCCTTCTGCATGGATACATTGCTAAACCCAGTTAATATAGATACCAGAGATAATGTACGGAGGATAAACCTGAAATCTGTTTCATAAAAACCGAAATGGAGCCAAATATATATACTACCCCAACTACCTATCTATACATTTGTAGATTCTAAAGCAATAGAATTAGTTATGCGCCATGTGGTTATGCAAAAGTAAGTACCTTCCAAAAGCTTGATGAGGACCAAGGTACTTGCATTTACAGTGGACTGCAGAATTGGCCCCAAAATAAGTGTAGGACAAACAGTTACCTAGTCAAGCCCATTTATTCTTGCAAACTCCAGAGCCTCCCATTCTGCTAAAGTTTTTGAAAGACTATACCAATTCTGGAAAATTAAACAAAGAACTAGACAGTCAACATACAAATGCAAATCACTTGCATTAGAGTGCACAGACAATGCTTTATAATTGTTAAACTGGCAACACATAAGAAAGTGATATAATCACACTAGAATAACTTCAAAGAGTCTGCATAGCTAGACGATAAGATCACACTAATGGATTTGCTTCATTCTAAATTTCTACGATAGTGAAATGGTACTGGATGAAACTATGAGCTAAAGTTGCAGAACTGCTCAAGGCATTGCATCTCATAGGCCTAATAAAAAGCATGATTTGACCATTTTATTAAGTTGTGTTTTTGTAATAAATTTTAGTCTAAATTTGGATTTCAATTTAAAAAATAGTTTGTCATGATTCTAAAACATACGTAGTTTTAGAATTTTGGTGGTCATTCTCAAAACCTCCTGTTTTTGGTAAGTTCCTTTATTTTTATTTTCCTGTTTTGTTGGGGATTAATGATATTGCTTTAGGATTTCTAATTTTACAGATGAGAACTCTAGACACTTATAGTCTATCGACAACAGTCTTTCACTATTATTGACTAAAGAATAGAGTTTCCTTTCTTTTATTCCTATTCTATTGGCATTTGCTCTTGGAATCCTTGGTGAAGAATCAGCAAATCCTAGCATGACCCTAAAGGAAAGTTGTGTATACGTGTTCCTATTTGTTGGTTCTACTGCAAGTCGTGTTGATCACCAAGACCACCATGAGTTCATTGTACAATTAAATATGGGGAGCTGCTAGTGCACTCCTAGGTAGTCATCATCATGCACTTGTCCCTAATGAAAAAGATCACAGATTTTCGAGTGTAGGATGGCGATTTTTGGAGTGCTAATAAAAATTCCCTAAATACATACATTAATTGAATACCTCAGTTTTTCTGCAGTATTCCTTATCCGACCAACAAGTTTCATCCAACAATTGACCTTCAGACCACCTAGGATTCATGATCACAGCAGCAACAGAGGACACAAAAACAACTCGTTTGACTTTTGCTTCAAGGCAAGCTTTAAGTACATTAAGTGTTCCCTTCACGGCAGGTTCAACAACTTCTACCTGGAAAAATAGTACAACAAGATGCAGGATAATATAAGCATTAATTTGGTAAGCATATCTTAGCACATTCAAATTATTTGAGTATGAAGCATGAACGTATACTATACAAGTGAGCAATGGCAATGAAGATAGCAATGGTTGTAAATAGTTTGGCACCCCTTCAGTGCCCTAATCAATGAAATAACTTAGAACCACTTATATGAGCCTCACTAAATGATTTAACTTAGCAACCATAGAAACTGAGTGTAGTAATTAATCTATTGCAAGTGAGATCGAGTATGAAGGGGACGAATTGGAGAGATTATTGCCTCAGGATTTGGCACAGTGCTGAAGGGGACTGGACTAGCAACATGAAACACTCCGTCGCATCCTAGAATCCCTGCACGAAGAGACTCAAAGTCCAATAAGTCAGCTTTGAATAGTTGAAGGTTCTCAGATGCCTTGTGAAGTTTTTTCAAGTGGGCGTACTTGTCATTGCCTGCATGCACAATACAGTAATGTCACTAATTCCACATTAGTAGAGCAATTTCCAACATTCTTTGCTAGCTAGTGGAGAACAATGCTTGCTGAATCAAGAAATTTATTGATGTTTCCATTGGAACTTGAAACTGATAACAAAATCACCACTTTGTTTTTGTTTAAGTAAGCATCAGATAATGAAAAGAACACCAATTTATTAATTAAGAGATGACACAAAATGAAAAGGCATCAGCTTTTAAGCACAAAGTTGGGTCGACCAAAGATGGCAGCCCAAATTTGCCTAATATTCAATCTGCATAAACGAGATCTAGCTTAGCAGATAATGAAAATGAAAATGAATGCAGATTTATTATATGATGATGGAACAGTAGAGACTTGAGTAACAATCACATATACAGTGAAGATAATTTCTTAGCTAAAGCAAGAAAGAAAGAAAGAGCGGGGAAGGAACGTTAGTTATGAGTGGAATTTGTATATAATTACTGGGATCTCTAACGGTGCCGTGGACGGTGCAATCCTTGGAAAGCAGAAGCTTAACGACCCACGACGCAACGAACCCGCCAGCCCCTGTAACACAGTACCTTCCCTTCTCAACCGCCATTTTTATTCAAACAACTCTCTCTGTTCTCTCTCTCTCTCTCTCTCTCTCAATCTTAACTTAACTGACCCTGAGTCGGTCTGGCTTCTTCTCGAGGGCTTGGAGCCAGACTAAGATTACACGTCGCATATCAAGGGCTTCCAAAGATTACACGTCATTTGATTCTTTCTCTTTTTTTCGTATTTTTTTTTCTTTTCTCTGGTCATCCCAAAATTAGAATGGTTTCAAAAAGTTGACACTGGACCAAAATTTGATCAGAATCTTTGATCGTAGTCAATTTTTCCAATTGAAAATTTTCCTTTAAAATTTCGGCAGGTCTACTTTGTTTTTTATGATATCTCCAAAATATTATTTAACTTGTTAAATACTTCTACATCTTTAACTACATTATCAAGAGAAAAAAAAAAAAAAAAAAAAAAAAAAAAAAAAAAAAAAAAAAAAAAAAAAAACTACATACAAAAAAAAAAAAAGAAAACAAATTTTAAATTTTAAAAACCAAAGTCCTAAATATCTTGGACAATTCATAAACAAGCGTTCATATGGAAGATGAGAAGAATATTGGAGCAGATAAGTGTCAGAAATTGGTTGAGAAAGTTGAAAAGAGAAAGAAAAGGATTGGAGCAGGAAGCGGTGAAATGGAAATAGGATGGGGTAAAGGGAGAAAGAAAGAGAAAGGTATGAATTGGAGACTTGGCAAGGGTGATACTATTCTGTTTGGATCACTGGCTCCATGAGGGTCCCTTGCTGCACCAAGGAGTGCTCAATGTAGTTGAGCAGGATTGTACAGTGGATAGCTTTTTTTTAAATAGATGGTGGGATATTGATCAATTGAGGGGTGTTGTGACTGAGGAAATAGTACAAGAGATAATTAAAGTTCATGCTTTTTCTAATGCTGTTGTCAAGTCTTGACTCGTAAGTAAACTATGTTCTAAGCCAACTTGGGGGAAGGAATTCCTTGGCATACAATCTTTATTTTTACTTGCTGGTTTATCTGGAAGTGGAGGAACCATCAGACTTTTGCTGAGCTTGAGGAGTTGCCTAATTGTCCATAGAAGATTATTCAAGCTGCTGTGAAGGAGTGGCTTCGTTCTGTCAATTGTGTCAATCCTAATTGCCTCCTCGGATTGTAGCTTTTAAATTAAATGTGGATGGTATTTGTAAGACTTGTTCTGGGGCTATTGGTGCTGGGTGTGTAATACGTGACTACTTGGGGGATTGGATTGGTGGATTTTTTGTTCACTTAAAATAACAATAATCTAATTGAGTGGTTAAAATGTTTCGGATTCAAGTAATTTTTTGCAAATATGATCTTTGAGTGAATATTGTTGAGGCCCAAAAAATCCAGGGTTAGGCCCAAATAAATTCTCTGCCCAGTGCAACACCTTATTAAGAAAAGACCCGGTTCGAAGCAGGCGAAATTCGTCATGCACGCTTGCACGAGCCACAACCACATGTCGTGCCAAATAAATATGCCACCTTGCACACTAAGAAAAAAAAAGAGGCCTATAAAAGGCACCGGCTTTACAAGCCTATGCTAATTATTCTGTCAAGCATCATATCCCTTTTTAAAGGCGACAAAATTCAAGCATGCCAAGCGACATGCAATGCCAAGCGAAACTCATTATTATTACACCTAGCCACGCTACAAGTTTAAGTGGGCCTAAGCCACGCAAATGCCCGGGACTTGCTGAGTGGGTTGTGGTATGAATGATAACGAGCTTTCATGAGGCCCATTGATGAGCCGAGAAATGGAAGTTTTAGGCTGCTTGGGAGCCCCAAAACTCAAGCCCATTTCTTGAGTCCAAATATGTGGGTAAGCATAAAAGAAAAAAAAAACTCAATACTCTAGAGAAAAAAGCCCAATACTTTAGGAAAAATTAGTCAATCATCTCAATAAAATAGCCTATCACTTTAGGAAATTAGCTCATTTCCTTAAATGGGTTAACCCATCACCTTAGGAAAGCCCAAGCAACCAAAGAAAATCTATAATCTCCAACACTTAGCTGGAAACAAGAGCCACGATGAAAGCCAAAATATCCATGTATGTAAGCTGCTTGGAGGCTCCAGCACATGGGCAAAAACAAACATCAAGAACACGCAAAGAACTAATGGGTATTAGTGTGCGCAAAGCAGAAGCACCCTTCAAACCAACACCCTTACCAATTTCTTTCTCCTACCAACTCTTGCCATTGAAGAGGGAAGGAAAGAAGGTGATGAGGTAGTCAAAAATAAGAGTTCAACACTAAAGCAGCTGCGAGAAGGCCTTTGAACTCCTTAAAATCTTGTCTTTGTGTGTTTGGACAGAGGAAGATTTCACAAAATGGGGTGAATCGAAAGGAGAGAAGAGAAATGAAATGGGAGACTTGGCAAAATTGGAGAGAAACCATTAGGATTTCTTGGAAAGGATGAGCTTCCAGTGGCTATAAAAAGAGGCATTTCCTTCTCATCAACACAACCACACACACTACTTCACCACTAGCTACAACCCACATCCAGAGAGCACACATTATCTCTCATCCCTGAAGCCCTGCAATTATGTGTCCTATTCCTCCATCTCCTCCCATTTTCTCTTCTGGCAAGCCATTCTAAAGTCTGACATAACTTTTGTTAGGCTACCGGAAAATTACTCAACACACCCATTGTTCTTCCCATCTCTTTCTCTCTTGAACGAATCCTCTCAAAATACATTTCGTCCCTTACCTTAAACCCCTATTTCTCATAGGAAATCACAACCCTCTCTTTCTTTTTAATGCTAAACTCATGACTGCTTTACTTCCATGCCACAAGCCTATCATGTCAAGCTAAGTATTTATCTGTAAGTGACTGTTAGTTTTGCTGGTGAAGGTAACCAAGGTGCTTCCTAAGGCTCAGTTACCCTTTCGAAGCAATCTTAGTGTCTGATTCTTGAACTTAGACCCAAAGGCAATTTTCACACATTTGGCTCTTTACAGCAACCCAGGCCCGTAGTAGCTGCCGGAAAGAAAAAGTCCCTACAAATATCTAAAAATTAAACGGTTCGGATCATTGAAAAACAATGTGTGGTGAGCCCTACGAGGGTGTCCCTGAAATAAGCTTATTTAAGGGATCCCTCAATCGAAGCTCACTGTATATATATATATATATATATAATGATTTTTCCACTCCAATTTTATCCACTTACACTCTTTTTTTAGTTATATAATGGAGTTTAAGTGGATAAAATTGGAGTGGGGAAATCACCACTCTATATATATATATATATATACTCTTCTATTGTGGAACACCTTTTGGGGCCCACGAAAAGTTTTATTTAAATGATCCAAATCGTCTATTTTTCAAGTCTTCACTCATAGATTATCCTTTAAAAAAATTAGATAAATCGGAAAACCGTTAAGACAAGTCGTGCGCAACAAAATCGACGAACACAGTACTTTAAAAAAACACTACAATAATAATCATTCAATTGAGTGGTCAAATTATATACATATCCCTTCTATTGAGGGACACCCCCCTACGATTATTATTTTTTCAACGATCCAAACAATTTATTTTTTAAGTCTTCATTCATAGATCATCCTTACAAAATATCAGATAAATTGAAAACCATTAAAGCATTTAGTTGGGACCAACAAAATAGACGAACACTGTGCTTCAAGAAAAGACTATAATGACAACTATCTAATTTAGTGATCAAATGGTTTCGGATTCAAATTATTTTTTGCAGAGATGATATTTGAGTTAATATCTAAAAACACCCAGTTTAGATTATTAAAATACAATGCATGATGGACCCCCTCAAATAAGCTTACTTTAGGGATCCCTCAACTGAAGTTTTCTCTCTATATATAGTATATTTTTCTAGTTTTTCATGCTAATGGATTAATAATTTTTATTTATTTTTATATATTAGTTGTGGGAGCAAATAATTTGGCTTCCAATCACAAAGGTGCGGATAAGAAAAATATCTCCTAGATCAATAATTGAGCCCATTTATTTGGTGAATTAATTGCTACCAAAAATAGAGATTTTATCTTAAATATGGGTTATAATCACCAATTAAAAGATGATATCATCAATTTAGGATATTATCATCAATTAGTGAAAACATGTACCCTTTTTAGTTATTGCCGCATCTTTTCTTAAAGAGCCAATCGAACTAACTTAGGCATCGAAGGGTCTTTGGCCAACACCCTCGGGTGTGGTCTTTTACTCATTTTTATTTTACAGGAATTGAAGAAGAGAAAGAAAGAAACCCAAAAAGTGAAAGATCTATACGTGAATATTCTTCTGTGAGAAATTTACACAAATATTAATAATGAAAAATAAAAAATTCAAACTTGGAACATCTCCCCGACAATGAACTAAACGTACACCGAGCTGGATGTTGAGTGAATTATGATTTATTCATGAAGGTAGTAGGTGCGTAACTGTGAGAATGAATTAAGCATGGAGAAGAAATGTGAAAAGTTGATGATGGGGAGGACAAGTTCACGTGTGATTGTGTTGTGGGCCTTGATTTGACAAGATAGGATCCAAATTATTGGTTGGACTATCCGAGCCACTAACTTATCCACGTGGATTTGGGCCATGTGAAAAGATCCATGTCAGCCTCCCTCACCTGTTCTGTTTGTTGAATTCTATTCTAGGTGCCCAGGCCATTTCAGAATTGTTTTTTTTTCAAACTCAACCTCCAGTGAGCATCTGCTGCATAATTTTGCCTTCTTTCTTGCCATTTTAAAACGATACCTTGTCCCAAAAAAAAAAAAAAAAAGCAAACACTTCACATACAACAGCATCATCAGACTCTTGTTTCTACGATTGATCTCTTGATATGAAAATGTTAGCTGTATGCCATATTTGATGACTGAGATTGAATTGGATTATGAGGTAGAATTAAATTGCATTGGATTGAAAACGAAAACACTACTCCAATGATGTGTTTGGTACTATGCAAATTAAGGGTCTAGATACATTTAATTGAAATGTACTATTACATGATAGTAGGATTAGACATAATCCAATCCAACTTATAATCCCAATTTTTTGGTAGGATTCATAATTCTACTACATTTGGCCCTAGAAAGACTATACATAATCTAATCTATGTTGTCATTAGGTCACCAAACATTTGATTAGAATTATGAATTTTGTTCAACTACATAATCCAACTCGTCCGGGTCTACAGGCTTTACCCCGATGCCGCGCCAATATTGTCCCAACAAGAAACTTAATAGGGTTTTACAATAATAAAATAAAATTTAGAGTAAAGTAATGAAGTGATTATTAGGCTAAGGGATGTTGTCGAGAGAGAGCCGATTTAGATCGGAAGAAAACGACAAATGGGGAGCTGGTGCTTGGGACTATGGACTATGGTCTATTTCCATAATTTCCATTCCCATTCGCGCTGCAGCTGATAAAGTGATGAGGACAAGCAAAGCATAGGAGGCAGTGCGCCTTCACACAGTCTGCTCTGCATTATTTTATTGTGATTAATAATTAAATGAAGTTGCTTGCTTATGCTTTTTAATTGATAATTAGGTCATGTGATGCGCCTTGTTCTTGTCCCGGGGGGGCTTTTCTCAACCTTAATTATTATTTTACTTACTTCTGCTCCCCTTCCCTATTAAAAGCCTTTTTAGTGCCTCATCTTCCTTGTTTTATTCATTAATTAACCTTTCATTTTGAACTTTCACAAGGAATTATAGTGGCATGCATATGCCCTTCCTTTTGATTATATTTACAAAAATTCTCCTATGCGGACGTTCGAACGTTATTACCGTGCAGACGCCATGTATTTTTTCTACTACCGCTCCTTGCTTTCTTCTTTGTTTATAATGACATTCGCATAGTAATAACTTGCGGACATCTGCATGAGAAAATAACTATATATATATATAAATATAGAACTAATTAAGTAAGCATTGAATGGATGATATGGAGAATGATAAAGTAATCCTAAGCTTGAGTGTGATACTCCAGCTACCACAAACGAAGGGGAAATTGAACACCTCTAGTTGCTGCTGGTGAACTAGGTTTTTGATGATCAATCATGAATGCATAAAATAATTATAACCTTAGCTAGCTATAGTGTTGGCTGGAATGATGTTTGCCTTTTCTTCATCAGTGGCCTGTGTGGCTCGAGAAGAAAAGGCAAGGGAAAAATAGTAATAATATATTATTCAGAATGAGATTCCAATGTTGATTAATTATCAAGTGATTCTCTTCATGTTAATGCTTTTATTTTATTGTAGTTAACTTTTCATTATACAAGTAGGTTAACTAGTTCTATTTAAAATTAGAGTGACATTCAAGCAATTGAAATTGGAATCTTGTTCCAGATGGCTGAAGATGATTCGCTACAAAGTTTATAAGAACACCAGTTCTCCAACTACCATTGAATTATATAAAATAAATAAACAAACAAATAAATAAAATTTGATGGATGGATAAATTATATATGTTTGTCAACTCCAACCGCGCTAATCATTGAAAAGGAATTTAATAAATATTTATTTGTGTATATATATATAGTCATTTTAATTGCATAAAAATAGATTTGAAATTCATTCTTGAGGTTAATAATATTGTATCCAAAACCTGTCTGACTATATATTTGTATTTTGTGGAACACTCTTTCGTCAACTCTTTGTTTTTCTTTATTTTTTTCATTTTCACTTCTTTGGCTATGCAATAGCTAACCACCCCTTAATTTATTCCTATGAGTTTTTAGGTAGGACGTACGTATCCCAGTCACGCTTATTTGTGTCCGTCGTGTTATTAGGCAATAATAGTTTCTTTAGTTACTTCATCTCGTGTCACGGATGTTCGTGACTATAATATTGTTTTCTTGTAACGAAGCGAGAAACAAGCTCAATTATATATATGTGCACTAAAGAGCAAAGATACATCTCATCATGTAGTCTTGTAGGATGACTTATTTATTATGAAGGGCGCATCTGAGTCGGGTATATGCTAAGTGTGATTGGATAAGCAAAGAACAATAGAGCGCCCAAGTGGGATGAATAGAAATAATAAAGGCAAGGCAATGGAATCCTGGTGCCCTCCAAGAAGTTGCGCCTACACACATTCATTCAGGCATGTCACCTCACTCATCAAACTCCAACTCCCTCCCACTTTACTTAATTCAGTGGGCCCCGATTAATTACATACATAATGAATTGAATTGAATTGAATTTCGATATGGTGAGACTTGGTATCTATCTCTATGGGCCATCATCCATATCTCTTCACGTACGTACGGCTCCACCAGGAATCGATGATATGCTTACCAAGTTAAAAGGACAGGCAAATTTGAAAACCGATTCTCTCTCTCTCAAACACCATAAAGTTGTCCTCAAGGAAGAATCATTTGCATGTCATCAAATTCGGTTTAACTCAGCTTATGTATGTTCTTACTTATTTCACTCCTCATCATCACGTTCGAATGAAAAACAAAAACAAGAAACTGTTTAATAACTTCATAGTTAGTTCTCATTTTAGTGATATTTCTCTTATCAATGTTTGAAGAAATCTCAAGTACGAATTCACCCGACTCGGATTGATAATAAAGAAACACACTAAATCTCAACACATTAATCCTCAACTTTCCTAATAAGTAGTATTGTCTAGAAAGTCAAGCATCTCATGCTTCATGGAATATTTTGTGAGTAATAAGTGCTGCTGATGTGTCTGATACGTACAACAAGAAAGTTATGGCCCCAAGTGTGAGCCACGTAGTCAAATTGATATTGACATGTTATGACTTGAGTTATGTATATGAGCGAGGAAGAGACAAGGTTGGGGTCCATGCACGGACATTGGACAAGCATGATTTGGTGTTTTTGGAGAAGAAAGAATGTGTCAAAATTGTTGTGGGTCTTTGTCCTTGTATAAATCCTGTTAGTAGCGTGTGTGGCTGGGGACTCTCATAGTCTCATTTGGGGAAGGGAGACCAACGAACAAGATGCCACTGCTGAGAACAAAATTGCCGCCAAAGTTACGGCCCAATTTAGAGCCATCTCCGCTGAACCTTACCATAAAATTTATTTATTTTTGTATCTGCATGCAGATTTGTTATTATTATTATTATTATTAATACATCACTCATCGCATCCGATAAGGTTGACCAAGTTCCGATGTCCCGACAGCTTCCACGTGGTCTGGTGCTGACCTGTTGACCGCACGTGTTTTCTGGTCTCCTCTCTCCTAGCTAATAGGCTGCCTAATCCTTTCTTCACTCCTCTAGCTCTACTCTGAGCTGTACAAAGCTTGAACCCCTCATCCGAGGGACCCACTGCACTCACCTGCCTCCCTTCCCAAGCAAGCAAGCAGGCATATAAGGGCAACCATGGCAACCCACTCTTCACCTCAAAGGATCAACTCTTCGGTTTCTCCAAGGGTCAGTGCAGTGGGTCCTAACAATCAGCGACACTTCTAGTGAGCTATATACTATACCATATGTGCTCCTCGTTGGTGTTTGTGTTGAGTACTATGTCATCCTCTTTCAATTTGTTTAAAGTAAATTTAGGTTTTAGTCGGAAAGTGGTCTAGTACTATTTGTATTAATTTGATTGGTGGAAGTCTCATCTTTGATTCACGTAGATGACAAAAACGATATCCATTTATGATGAGTTTGATACTTAGTTGTGTCCAATCTCATTGTAATGATGTAATTTTGTTGTGGGTGTATGGTCCGTTTAGAAAATTCTTGTAAATATCCTTTTGTTTGTAATAAAAAAAAATTAGTCCAGTGGTTAGTGTTTAGTATGATGCAATCAAATTTTATAATTTAGTTCTATATTCTTCTATTTTTAAATTGAACATTTATAGCACCTATAAGTTGGGGGACACAATTCGAATTGGGTCGATTTGACTTCAAAAATCAATTATAATATAACGATTTCGTTTGGCTCAATTCATTTTGACAAACGATAATATTTGTGAAAACTTATAACACATTTTATAGGGATTGCTGAAAGCTTAGGGGCCACGGTAACTTCAACTTCATATCCTCTTAACTCCTTTTCCATGCACACCCTCTCTCATTCTCCTTCTTTCTCACTCACTCATTCTAATGACATGGAAGGAAAGGGTAGAGAAAGAGCGTTAGGGCCGGTCATAGGCAAGCCTCATAAGAGCATTTCCACCCTATTTGCCATGGCAAAAGGAAAGGTGAGTCAAGGGCTGTTACTATTCACTTGAATACTGCCTGCCCTAGCAATTTTGTTGTTGCATTTCCACCCCATGCCATGGCAAAAAAGGAAATTACTACTCACAATAAATTAATTTTAATTTTTATACTTATAAGATTTTCGGTTGCTATGTGTCCGTATTTATTATAAATTCACTTCTTAGATTTCAGATAAAATATTCGAATAAGATTTGCGATTGCCACATGTCCATATTTATTATAAAATTCACATGTTAGATTTCGGATAAGATTTTCGGTTGCTACTATTGTGCCACATGTCATCTCTATCTTCTAAATTCTATTATAAAACCACACCCTCAACTCACACCAATCATCCATATCCACTCTGTCCTTTCATTTATCAGATTTTACAATACACATTCTACTTTCAATGTCTTACACAAGGAGGTTGTTGGAGAGGGCTGAGCGAGAAAATGAAGAAAGAATGTGCAAACATGCTAAAAAAGAAAGGGAATGGGAGCAGAAGATGATCAAGTTATTTTAGCGGTGGGTATGCTCAATCAATCAAGCCAACACCACCGTTGTCGGAGAAGGAAAAATACTTTGCTACCTATCAAGAAGGTTATAGGAAAGATGTGAAAATGTGTTTTGGTATCCTCAAAGCAAGGTGGGCAATCATTAGGGGAGCTACTCGTATGTTTGATGAAGACATGTTTCAGAGTATTATGACGACGTACATCATCCTCCATAACATGATTGTGGAGGATGAGTATGATTATGATGAACCAGAGATGTTCGAACTCAATCCCATGAATACAACATTGTCAATAATTTATGAACGACCTGTAGGAGCAAATGGACAACCTCTGGAGCATGAACTGTTGATTAAAGGTTATCATTACAACAACCGTATGATTAACCTTTATACGGAAATGCAATCTTCTTATGTTCACGAAAGATGTCAAGTTGACTTGATCGAGCACTTATGAGCACTGAGAGACAATCATGGTCAATGAAGTCAAGTTTAATGCTTTGATTTGAATTATGCTTTGTTTTGTTTGTGGTTTGTCTTGAATTATGCTTTGTTTTGTTTGTGGTTTGTTTTGAATTATGCTTTGTTTTGTTTGTGGTTTGTTTTGAATTATGCTTTGTTTTGATGTATGTAATGTTTTAAATAAATGGCTTTATTATTGAATGCTTTCTATATTCAATAAAAGACAATTAATACTACTAATTAAGAAAGGGCATCCCTATCAATACAACCTAATGGTTTTTTTCATTTAACCAATCTGTATTGCTAGGTCCATCGTCATAGAAAAGTCTTCTTCTCATAACATCCCTTCGTTCTTGCTTCCAAAATGTCTTTGTTTCAGGGGACATATGGCTCATATCCATGGTCATGGTTTCTCGATCTTTTTTGTCCATGTCTTGTTTGTGTGCAAACTCCCTTTTCTTGCAAACGCGTCATCTCTTACCTTGTCAACCTCATCTCTTTTTATGTCTCTCTCAATTCTCAATGCGCCATTGATAAGAATTTGCTCCAAATTTTTTGCACATTCATTGTTCAAAGTGCTCATCTTTTTGCCTTTGTCGCGTTTCTTCCAATAAACCTCGGCTCTCTTTGGATTGGTGAGTCTTGATCAATAGAGGAGTCCAACGGTGAATTCAATGCCGATGAATCGTGAAGCAGCGTCTCATTCAACACAACGCTCGGACTCATGGAAATAATTTTGAATCTCGGACAATTCTTCACAGCCTCCCAACATTGGTGATTGTTCAAAGATTTGTTGCCTTTGCCAATGACACCGAACCACATTTGTGCTTGAATAATTTATAATAAAAAAATTAAATTGGAAATACAAGAAAATATCAAAAAATATGACATTAAATTTAATAAAATGGCAATTACAAAAATTTTACCGTTGGAGGAAAGAAGGCGTTGATGCTAGCCTTGTGTCAACTAAAGGCGCGGTCTTCGCGTGCACGTCACACACCAACAGTAAAAAAAATTTAAACTTGTGCACTGACGTCACAACCTACGGGCAGGAGCTCGAGCTCATCTTGCCTTGGGTCTTGGCCGGGTTGGTAGAGCCCATCTCTTGCCCTGACAAGATTTGTGTGCTGGAAGCTGCTTTTGAGGCCTAGATGGCCTCTTGCCTAAGCTAGGTTGTTAGGGTGGAAATGCTCTAAGATGGGCCTAAGGCCCCCAATTCATCGGGCCCCTATATTATCTATATATTAATTTTGGTTTAAAAATTATTAAATTATCAAACTCACAATCCATATATTAATTTTGGTTTTATCTATATATTAATTTTGGTCTAAAAGTCAAATAACAAATTCAAAAAAACACTCAACAATTTTCAAACTCACAAACCAAGCCTATTACTTTATCAATTAATTAGAAATAAAAATTACATCCACAAAGCCTAGCATATTTCATAGGTTATGTCACGACCCACAGAAGCTCACACCACCTCAACACTATACCCCAAAAAGACTAGTCACTAATAGGGTTCCCTGCAATTGATTATGAAGCCCAAATAAACCTAGTAGTTTACCGATGTAGGACTCAACATGCCAACTTGGGTGTTACATTCTCCCCCACTTATGGCTCACGTCCTCATCAGGGGTCACAGTTAACTTGATGTAAAGGTCTTTTTGTTCCAGCAGCCTGACGAATGGGCATAGGCTGCTGTAAGAGGAAAAAAAAATTGCCCCAGTGCCTGAGTTCAAAGACCAGGCTCCATAAGAGTTTTTGAAAAGTTTGCTAAAACTTTAGAAAAACGATTTTAGGTTCTTTTCACCAATAACCAAATGAACATAACAAATTGATAAGTGACCTGACTTGAGGAGCTTGTGGCATGGGAGCTAAGCTTTCACAAGTTTAGCAATTTGAGGGGGAGAGAGAGAGAGAGAGAGAGAGAGAGAGAGAGCGTGAATTTCTCACAGAGAGCAAAGGTTCAAAATGGGGAAGAGGAAAATTAGGGGGATTTCTATTTCAGGAAGAGAAAAGCAATGGATGTAGAAGATGGGGTATCTCAAGTAAATTTCCAGTTGCTTGACAAAGCTTGGTCATGCTCTAGATTGTGATTTTGCTAGGTAGAGAAAGCCCCCTTTTATAGGCACTTAGAACCTTAATTCTAGTAATCCAACATTCTCACTTTTCCTTTGCTTCTTTCCATTCACTTTCTTTTGGTGAAATTTATCTAACCAAAGTGCATGGGTCATAGGCTCTTTGGGGTTCCAAGGTTTTTGTGTGGTTGGACCTCCCCCATGGGGGTGAGGCGCCACCTGCTTTTCATTGGTTTTCCTAATAGAGCTCATAGAGGAAAAGAGAATGGATGGAGTCGTTTGTTCTATGGGTACTCCTCTTACACATATGGATTTCCTTTGGTCCCTGCCATGGCTCCTCGTTGACTATTTTGGAGTTTTGACAAGGGTGGAATATGATGCTAGATTTTTACAAGGCGCTAGGCTGGGCTTTGTTTACAGTATTGGGTTATTGATGTTCTATTTCCAGCGTCCAGTGGGTTTTCATCAAGCTGCTGGAAATAGTCCTTTTATTTTGGTCATTTTACTGGTGTGTGTTTGTTTAAGTGTTGCAGCAGACTACTAGATGTTCTCCTAAGGCATTGGATCACTTTTTTTCCTCTCTCATGCTAACCCATGTGTTTGGGCCCAAGGAATGGGCTTGAGTTTTAGTGCTCTTAAGTGGCCTAAAACTTTCATTCCTCGAACCCTCAATGGGCCCTGTGAGCGCTTGTTCCCGTCCATACCACAACTTTCTCAACAAGCCCCAGGTAATTATGTGGCTTGGGCCCACTTAAGCCTACAATATGACTTGGTATTAAAATAGCGTTCCTTTACATGGCATTGCGTGTTTATTTAGCATGCTTGTGCTTGAATTTCATCGCGTTACTATAAGTTGTGATTGGGCCATGTAACATTGGATAGATTGGTAGGCGTGAATTTATAGAGCCGGTGCGTTTTGGTCCTTTTAAGTGGCAGACGCGTGCGTTTGGCTTGGCATGACGCATGCCCCATGGCTCACACATGTGCGTCCTATGAATTCTGTTATGTCCCAATTGGGCTCCTTTTGCGGTCAATTATTTGTGTTGGGCCAAGAATAAACCTGGGCCTAGCCCTTGGATTTTTGGGCCTCAACACTTGACAATCTATTATATAATATGATTATATTATATCATAATTATACATGGCTATATTATATTAACTAAAAATAAATATGTTACTTATAAGGTCGGGTATGGAGCCGTGGATAATAATATCATCTCCGACTCATTTCCAATCGAAAATTTTAAAATTCAGGGATCTTCGACCTACCCCCAAATTTTTCCTCAAATCTCCCCCATTAAAATTGGGACTCGATGGAAACCTGGCCCGACTTAAATTTATGCCTATCCCTAAATGTGATATTAAGGTGTGGTATAGAAGTAGCTTGCCTTAGCTTATCCAATATGCAAATATGACATAACCATGGTTGTGCTACATTTTTGACCAAAAAGAAAATAAGTTGTGCATTTGAATATGTAGACGCGCCAGGGGGCGCGTATAGCAATTTGAGGTCCTTTTTTTTTTTGTCTTGGTAATTGCTTGAATTGTGCTTTTACCTCACGCTTTTCCACCAATTCCTCCTCAAAACTCTCCTCTCTCTCTCTCTCTTCTCCAGCTCATTCATTCATAGACCTCCAAATTTAGAAATTGAAGAATTTCATATACAGATACAGTGGTGTTTTCGCTTCACAGTCCCCCCCCACAGCTCAACTCCGGCAACTTATTTGAGAAATTTCATAAACATAAAATCGCTGATAAGTGACTATATCTTGTTTCTAGCTCCTTAATTATTATTAATTTCTAAGTAGTGAGTATATATCTGTTGAATATCACTCCGATCCCTTTTTTTGTTTGAAGATTGACCAGATCATTCCCATTGATCTTTGGATTTTTGAGGGCTTGACTTGCAATTTTGAAGTTGCTAGCACAAACAAACCTACTGTAAGGGAAGTAAGAGCTGTAGTTGAATCTTGTATATATGAATACAGAGAGCTAGTAGGTTAAGCCAGCTAGCTTTATTTGGGAATTGGGTGTTTCTTCTGTGTGTATGTAACTGCTGATTATGGTTGAATAGATAGAAGACTCTGCTGCGCAGTGTGTACCACTCAAGTCTCAAGCTACCCATTTCATTTGTAACCGATGAATCTCAGACTCTCATCAGATATTGACCGCTGCTGCATCTCAGTTTGTTGAATCAAAATATTTGACCCTATCAAAGAAAAGAAAAGACCGCCCAAGTTCACACACAAATACACTTTATAGATATATATATATATAAAGTGGTGAACGAAAGAAGAGAAAGGAATTAGGCTGGCAAATAAGTGGTGGGAGAAAATAGATGTGGCGATGGCGGGCTACAATGAGTCATTGTCTACAACCTCAGCCCCAACTGCTTCTCGCTACGTCCACCAGCTCTTCCACCCCGACCTCCACCTCCAAGTTCATCAACAACAACTACACCACCATCATCAACAACAACAGTCCTCCGATTCCCACCACCAAGACGACCAAGATCACAACAATAACAAGATAATCGAATCCTCCGACACCGCCGCCACCAGTTCCGGCGGAGGAGGCGACGGAGGTGGTGGAAGTGGAAGTGGGGGTCCCACACGCCGCCCCAGAGGCCGCCCTGCAGGCTCCAAGAACAAACCCAAGCCCCCAATCATCGTCACGCGCGACACCCCCAACGCCCTCCGCTCGCACGTGCTGGAAATCTCGGCTGGCGCCGACGTCATGGAAAGCGTCTCCATCTACGCCAGGCGGAAGGGGAGAGGCGTGTGCGTGCTGAGCGGCAGCGGCACCGTCGCCAATGTCACGCTTCGTCAGCCTGCGGGGAGCGTGGTCACTCTTCACGGACGCTTCGAGATACTTTCGCTCTCTGGGACGGTGCTTCCTCCTCCGGCTCCTCCAGGTGCGGGTGGACTGTCCATATTCTTGGCGGGCGTGCAGGGACAAGTCGTCGGGGGTTGCGTGGTGGGCCCGCTGTTGGCTTCTGGTCCAGTGGTTTTGATGGCTGCTTCGTTTGGAAATGCTGTGTTTGAGAGATTGCCATTGGATGATCCGGAAGAGGGTACTCCTACTGGTGGTAATGGTGGCGGTGGAGGCTTGCAAGTGCAACAACCTACGGCGTCGCAATCTTCGGGGGTGACTGGAGGCCTTGGTGAAGGTACTGGGGGAAATAGCGGCGGCGGTGCTGGCCTTTTCAATCTGGGAGGGAATATGGCTGCTAACTATCCGTTTTCGGGTCCTGATTTGTTCGGGTGGGGTGGGGGAAGTACTCCGCGGCCTCCGTTTTAGTAGTTACTTGTGATTCTGATTTTGAGTATGGTTTCCATGACATGGGGGTGTTGATGCTACTGCTAGCTAGCTCGTGTGAATCAAGCAACTACTTTTCTCAAATTTCTGAAGAGTTGATGAAATTAAGGAAGGTAGCTTGCTAATTTGGTTGTCTGAATGTGATAAAATTAAGGATTAGCAGTCATCACATGAACATTAATTGAAGAGATTTCTTCAGTCAGTGGCTTCAATGGGAGCAAAGTATATATATTTACAACGGAAGAAGAATGATGAAGGCTTGGTGTGTTGAGTAGGAAAAAAATAAGCAACAATTAAGGATATAGTAGAGACTTTGCAAGGTCAGTAAGTTATAATATTTATAAATCGACGGTGTTCTTTCCCATCTTCTTTCTTCAATATCCTTTGAATATGTCTCTCTCTTATAATTATAGCAGCTATGCTAGTTGTAGTGTGATGATGCACATTTCTAGGGTTTTATATATTAATGTCTCTCATGTTTCTCTAGATCTGTCCATCTTCTCCGGCACCAGTAATACTTCATATCCAACATTATGTTATGTGTTTTTGTTCATTTCTAGGATTGAATTAATATAAACTATGCGTTTCAGTTAGTGAATTTCAAACTTATATACACACACATGCTCACATGCATTCATATACTAAAAATGATTATATTCCATTGATTGCTTCTGTCTTACAAGATGGCCTGAAATGCTAGTTGAGAGTGTGGAATTGTTTGTGGTGCATGTGACGCTATGAGTTCTTCCTCTTTTTTTGATTCCTTGATTTCATTTTCTGTTACCCAACATAGAAAAAGCACTTGAGCACCTTGGAAAGCCTGCTTCACTCTTTTTACAGAGAAGAAAAAGAAAACCCTAGAAATTGAGTTCGAGAAACGATGACGATGCCAAAACCATCCTCTCTTACTGGTCACCCACAAACTTACAGCCGGCTGACCAAACGTTACAGCAGTAGAAAACTAGAAATTTAACGTTCGTGTCAGTTACAAAACGTAAATACAGTGTTGGAAAGGAGAGTTAAAAAAAAATATTTTTTGCACGTTTAAACATGCCTGCACTGCACTGCACATATGAACATCTGTCTCTCAGTCACTTTGGGATTTTATGTGAAACTTGAGCTCCTAGGGAATTAGTAATGTTTACCTGTAGCTATATATAGAACAAAAGGAAACCCAATTCCCCAAAAAACTTGTAAATTCTTTATGATATGTTGAAAGCTGGAAAGAGGTTAATAAAAAATACCAAGAAATATATGGAACTTCTGTGTGATAAATATCATTAGTGTATGTGTTAAATAACTAACTCCCTCCCAGATCATATCATTTTTCATTTGAGAAAACTATAGATGAATGGCTGGTTTGACCTCTTTCTGTATATGGTGAGGATCACAGTCTTCCCAACTGTAACGTTTTCTACTTGTCTATACTACAATATGAAAAAGGAAAAGAATTTCCAGATCTTTGGTTTTACACATTTGTTCTGCATAGCTTCTTTTCATTTGTTTCTTTTTTGACCGCTTTAATTACTTTCAAGGTCTGACTCCCTTCAACATTTCAAGAAAATATGCAAACAAATCAGAGAAAATTATTCTCTCAGTTTCCTCTTCTAACATCACTAGGTTTGTTTGCTTCTGGCTTTAAAATTCTGTCTGAGCTACCTTACATATCAGATTCTTCTCCTAGCTTCAAGCCAAGCAAAACAGAAGAACATTATGAAAAAGCTGCATATGTGCATGTGGGCTTTCTTTTTAATAAGCAATATATTAGACACGCAAAGACTACATTCTTACTCTGAGTGGAACTAGAATATAGTTGATAGATAGCCAAAGGTGTGTCTTGGAAAAATCATATCAAAGTCATCTTCTTTTTTTTTATAATAAGAATTATTAAAAATCCAATAATAGTTTTAATTGTGTTAATTATTTCCCTTGTAGTTTATGCATGTTACCAGTTTTAGTCAAATATTAAATCTACAAAATGACGACATTTGAAATTTGACTAAAATTGGTAGCGCTTCTAAACTAGAGATATAATATATAAACAATCACAATGGTAGTCAACGGAGTCTAGCTTAATGAAAATGGTCTTAATTTGTAGTCTAATGGTCTCAAATTGGAATTCTCATGACACCTCGACAATGTATGCCAGAAAACCCCCTCTCTTTCCTAATTTTGGCAACAACAAAATAACCACAAGCAAAGGACGAAACTAGCATGAGGGCTGCCATGGGCTCTAGTCTAGGTAGCATTTTTTGAAAATTAAAATGTACTACATGTTCAAGGGGGATTGTATCCCAAATGGTTAAGAGCATTTACACTAGCACCATTAATGTGATTCGCCCTATAAATATATACTTAGTAGGCCATTGAATGTAGCCTAGTAACCCATTGTTCACTCAACTTTGTAGGCCTATAATCATTTTAGATTAACTTATCTGCTCCTTAAGAAACATAATCCCGTACTAAACGCTCATGACTTTTAACTCTCTACCTTTCCTATTTTCTCCCAATGTTTTCTTAACTTGTCGTCAATATTCAACTAGCTAGCCCACGGTGCAGTTAAAATGGAGAATGAGTTTCTAGTAGATTCTATATGATTATCCTCATTGAAAAAGAACTTGATAACAATATCAATTCATATGCAATAACAAAATATTTCAATTCTCTCAAGGACCGTAGGGCTCAACTTAAATAGGTATTCTTTCAAATATGTTTGTTGAACATATTTTCATTTTGATAATATGTGTTTTTTAGCTGGATTTACTATGTATTTGTTTGATGTTAAAGCTTGAACTAATGTGGTTTATATGATTTAATGTGTACTAATGTTTCTAGAAAAACTATAGGAACGGTAAATACCAACAAAAAAAAATTATTAGATTTTAAGTAAATAACTTTAGCTAGTCCATTTGTTGAAGAATTTATAGTTCCGCACTTGACCACAAGGGTATTGTTAACCAAATTAAAATCACTCTTACCTTGACATGTATGAATCACAGAGAGTATCACCAATACCAAACAACAACAAATAATGGCCACATGCGACTGCGAAACAGTTTACAATCACTAAACTAGCGATCCATACTAAGGAAAAGGCTTGAAATCACCCAATTAGCAGAGCATCAACCAAAGAACATGTGGGGTCCAGTTGCCTCAAAGGCTTGAAATCAATTTGAAATCAGTTGTTGAAATCTTTTGAAGAAATCAGGTTGAAAATCAGTATCTTTGAAGCATCTTTTTATAGTGCTTCAGAGCTCCAAGTCCACTAAAGATTTTTCCTTGACGTAAGGTACTTGGACAGTTCAAGTCAATGTGGGCTTCAAATTGCAGTCAAAGATTGCTTGCGGGTCATGACTTTTTATGACTTGTAGTTAAGTTTTGACCAACTTGTGAGACCCACCAACCAAACAATTCCGGCCTTCCGCCAAATTTCTGACATGTCGGGCCATTTCTTTCTTGCATGATCGATCTGTTTTACTAAAACTTGAGGCGAGATCTGTAATTTACTCCATATCCAAACACACAAGGAAAGTGACCAATTGATAGCCGCCTTGCTGGCTTGCTCTTGAGTTGCAAAATCGAGTTGTCTTGTAGTCTGAATTAGCCTTGCTGGCTTTTCATGCTTCTAAGGTACAACCGAATTAAAATACGGCACCCCCGTTTGGGAATGTTTTTTTTTAATTTATTATTATTACATGCAACTTCTGTGCCTAGTTGCATTCACGCAACCCTATTAATTTGGTAGTAAAACGTAACCGAGAGAGCATCATGGAGATGGCATCCCCACAAAAGACACCTAAGTAATCGATTTGAATCAGCACTGAGCGTACGGAAGAAAATATAGCGCCGCCAGACAGTTAAGGAGTTAACCCAAACATCAAATGGGTTTTTAAAAGTTGGGTTAAGAGTGGGTGGTGCTAGGATTATTGCTGGGGGATTCATGTTCACGTTCATGGGGGATTTTAACCCAAACGTCAAATTTGGCGGAGCAGGTTCCACTCTACTCATGCAGAAAGCACATGGATGCTGGTAAATTTGACTGAATTAACGGATTATACATCAACTCAAATTAGTTCCAACCTTCAACCTAAATCTCTCCCAACATAAAAATAAAAATAAAAATAAAAAATGTAATTCCTACACTGAAAAATTTATCAACTAACCCACTAAGGGAGGAAGGTTCAAGCTGATCACTGTTCAAAAGGAACACGCACGAACAACCGGCCATGTAGGCTAACCACAGCAGATGTTTGAAGCGGATCAATTTTGCCAGGTAAGCTCACAACCTGAAAACCAGAACAAAGACTGTAAATGTAACCTCTTTTTTTGTTTTAGCTGGTAACAATTCAAATTTATAAAGAAAATGTGCACTGAAGTAACAAATTGTTGATTCTAATGGTTTTGCAACCAGCTCAGACACTCCCGCTAGATAGTTTAAACACCACAAATTCCAGCAAATAGAAAAAACAAAGTTTCTTGCGGTCCAAATTAGTTTATTGCCTATGGGGATTGAAATGGAATTCCCAGCAGGTGACATCATTTTATTTTACTTTTTTTTTGGGGCATAATGCTTCCTTTTCTCAATTCCAACCCTGTCTACCCATTTCTGACATGCACAAACCTTAAAAGCCAGTGGCGACCTTTCTCATTAGTCAATGCTGAAGCTAAAGAGATACCTTTTTAAATGGTGTAATACCCCAAGGATTGTCAACCTGCTCTGGTTGGCCTGTTATAACCAGACGTCCAGCTGGATCTGATTGGACTCGCACCTGATATGTACCATAGATTAGAACATTCAATCATAGATGTCAAAAACGATGCTGTGAAAATTTTCCAGCCATATGTCAAGTGATGCCATATGATCCACAATTGTATTCATGGTCCACATGTATTTAAGGACAATACAAAAAACTAGGGACTTGTATATTTTCACTCACAGATATTGCATCATGGCATGAATACATACGGAGAGAAAAAAAAACAAATACAGACATGCAAATGAAGATAATTAACCTACAAATTGTCACATGATTGACTTCCTCTGCCAGTCATGAACAAATGTTGTGGAGATGTTGATGACATGGGGAAAGTAACAACTACTGGTTTTTGGTGGTTGTAATTCAGAAAAATCTTATGATCTTATCCAAGGGAAGGTACAGTTAAATTCCCAGGTTTTTGAAAATGGAAACAACAATCCAGATGATGTTTCAACTGGACAAAATGCTTCAAACCATCAGCTATCCAAGTGTTACAAGTCTCTGACCAACATGTACAATACAAGCAGAGTGTCCAAATAAGAACTTCATAAGCTCTATTTTTGGAAGACGCTACAAAAGAGGATAAAGACCCTGCTTAGAAATGAACTCATAGAGGAGCTCTAGTGATTCGATGAAGCATGAAGACTTGGCATGTTGAAGGCAATGACTGGTTAAGCAACATTATTTAGCACACAAGATTGACTCCCTATTGTGAGAATGTGAAAGTATAAAGTCCCACGTTGGAAAGTTAGAAAACCTTGCAAGGGCTTATAAGGAGTTGGGCTACTCCCCTCATTGCCAATTGGTTTTGGGGTGGAATCTCAACTTCCTTCACGTATGAGAAAATATGTAATGTGATCATCACACAAGAAACGTTCGACAAGCTCAAATTAACATTTAAGAAATGCCCCATTTTCCACTAGCTCTCTTGGTTTAGAAACAGAAATGAGACAAATGGTTCTCTTGTATCAATTTCTATTTCTAAGTTGCATCAATACGAGGTATGGTATGATATAGTGCCTCTAGATATTTGCCATCTCTAATGTGGATGTGTGGGACTTACAAAAGGAATTAAGTCCTGCTACTACATAATTAATTTTGATGGATCCGTTTTACCAAATGGAAATTCTTCTGCAGGCTTCATTATTCGTGATACAAATGCTAAACCTGTAATAGCAGGATCTAGTCCGCTTGGTCATAAATCTGTTTTGCAGGCAGAAGCTCTCGCTTTAAAGCAAGCAATTTATATGGGCATCGAGGTTTAGATTGTCGTCTTTGGAAAATGAAGGTGACTCCAAAATCCTAACTTTCCTATGGATATTTTACTTGGGTTTAATTTTGATCTGTAAGGTTATAGCATCCCCAGAGGATCTTCGTTGTAATTGTACTTTGTTTTAAATATTTTTAAAAAAAAAAAAAAAAAAAAAAAAAAAAAAACACACTAAGTAGGCATCAGGACACACAAACCCCCCACATAAATGCATTCCTTAATCACAGTTATTATCTTTCAACAGATCTCAGGGATCAAAGGAAATAACATATCATTCATCACCAATAGCCACACTAAATGTGGAATAACTAATATCAGAAGGGTGGTAATAAAAAATCATGCAACTGCTCCATCTCAGCCATCCAATTATAACCATTGAAACAACGATCATGCTAAAATCCCCGTGTTAACATTCATTATATAAATAAGTACAAAGCAGAGATAAACAGAAGGGTAACAGGAAGAGGATTCTACAAGGGCTCACCTCCTCACGCAGAAGACCAGGTACCAAAGCATATACCTCAAAGCAATCTTTCTGAGCATATAGAGAGTGAGAGTAGTTAGAACCAACAAAAGATAGCCAAAATTTGAATCAAATCTAGATCTTGGGAAGAATATCAGGAGAAGAATACAAAACGCACTTACAGTTTCTCGTACATTGATCTTCACCCAATCAGCTGGAGGTCCAAGATCAACAACAGTCGTGACTACCCTACCAGATGAAAACATGTAGCCTTTGATTTGATCAGGAAAAAAAAAAAAGAAAAAAAAAAAAAAGAAACAAAAAAAATCAAATGCAGCCTTAATGTAAATCAGATTTGTTGCTTAATAAATGTACTTAACAAAGTTTTACCTTCTTGATAGCATGGGGATGTTTTGAGGCAGTTAGGGAATCTATTGTTTGTTACATATTACAGCCCTCCTAAAAGGTGCACTTCTATTATTTCTCCAACACCCAAAGCACAAAGGATAGTCCAATGTCCAATGGTCAAAATCTTTTTAAAGTCCTTTCCTTCTTTTGCAAATGAAGATTTACGAATCCAAAACTATACACAAATGTTCTAGTAAGATTTCTTCCAAATTCAGGTATAACGCAAAAGAGTCCACAAAAGTAAAATGAATGCTAACACAATCACATCTTAGCAATGCATGAAAATAAAAATAGTTAACTTAAACTAGTACAGAGAAGAGGTGATCTAAAACAGAGAAATCATAGCAAAAAATAATATATATAATATATAATTACAGAAATGACCAACAAGTAACAATCGTAACTGCTTATCTGCCTCAATATTTGCAGTTGCATGCTCCAGGTTAGTTGGTGCCCTGTGTTTAATCGAACCTGACAACACAAGACAATATAATAATAAATGCATTTTTGCATAAAATATAGATTGGCCAGAAATATATTTCATTGTTGGGAAACATACCAATGCTTTTAAGATTCTTTTCACGCTTTGAGGTAGAACTTAAGTTCTTGTCCTACAAAAGAAAATCATTTTCATAAAAAAAAAAAAAAAAAAAAAAAAAAAAAAAAAAAAAAAGAAAGAATGTACAAGATGTCAATTCCAAACATACAACAACTAATAAAAATAAGTATAATCATTATATCAAGACATAGAGTTTCAGTGCACCTTAATAATAGGCTCAGCAACTTCACCATATCCAACAAGACGCTGTGCATGCCAACCCTGCATAGCACGAGCTGCAGCATCCCTTCGTGCCCTGCCTGATCCAGGAGTTTGATGACCACTTGCCTGCACAAGAGACAGATGAAAGTATCACTGAGAGAGAGAGAGAGATATATATATATATATATATATAATATTATGCAGTTAGTGCCTTATACTGACTATTAAGAAAGTCAACTAAACAACACCATGAAAAGTTTCAGTTAAGTAAATTTAACACTAACCCTCAACCTATGTTGCACAGATACAGATACAGGTATGGCGATACGATACGATACATATAGCAATGCGGAAAATCTAGAAAAACTAGCATACCGGTATGGCAAGGATATGGACATTAAAATAATATATACTTGTAAACATAATTTACATTGCAAATTAATTGTTCATCTATCATGTTCATTTTCCATGATATCACACAAAAGAAAAATAAAAAATATTAAAGCATGCTTATTCTCCGTGCAAAATAGCAAATCTTCTTCTTTCTTCTTATTTCTGGGCGCCATTTTTTCTCAGAATGAGAAATCCTAGGTCATTTCCTCCTTCTGTCAAACATGAAGAAGTGGGGTTGGTCTGATTAACTTTTAAAAATTAAATTTGAAACCCATATTTTTTTTAATGTTTCAAAAAGACCACCGAATTTTTAAAATAATTCAAAATGACCCCTGGAAATCTCTTGACATATCACGCTGTCCTGCGTATATCAATGCTGTATTGATGACATATCCCGTAGTCAACTAAATAAAAACCCAACAATACCCCATTTTCTGTATTGGATATGTATCCCAGTGTATCTAACCCATATCATTATCCGTATCCCTATCAGATTCTCACCCTGGCTCAATTTGCAAGAATCAGTGCAACATAGCCCTTAGCCTAGTACAGAAAAGGATACTCTAGATGCAATCGAAGAAGTACATAATAAATAAATGAAATTCCACCTCCTTCTCAACGGTCGTGGACTGAGTGATGGGTCCAACAGGAAGTCGAAGCTCACCAGTTTGCCTCTTATGCTTCTCATACTCCAAAAGTGCCTGCACAAGTTGATAAATTCAGGGAATAGAAGACAAATGAAATAATACAATCATTGGCAACAAGTAGCAATTTGATATGATGACTAAAACCATAATACCTCAGAAACAGAGTCTAATAGGAACAGATTCAAGGAACTCATTTTTAGTGGGGTCAAGCTCCCTGTGAGAAATAGAGCTTATACACCTTTCATGACAGTAAAGATAATCGAAAAACATAGCATATCCCTTTTGTACGTTAAGAAACAGGAAGCATATCCCCTTTATTATGCAAATGTAACAACGAATCCACTTTATTATTAAGTATTAACATTATTAACTAGACTAGAAGACCCAAGTCATGATCCTTCCACTTAACTACTATCCAAATAGTGTTCCCAAAACCTATATGAATAGAATCACACATAGTACAGTAATCATCATGAGTTAATGCCTACTGATAAATCAAGTTTCCTTTTGTTTGTTTTTTTTATACCCATAAATCCACCAATCGGCAAAGTGAAACAGCCTTGAAACTGCCCCTCCCCCCGGGAACCCTACAACCTTTGGGAGGCAGGAAACACTAAGAAATGGCTAGATAGGTACCTCTGGGGGTTTCAAACCTCAGACCACATGGGAGCAAACCATGGGCCTGGCCATTCCACCTAACCCCTTGTTGGTGATAGATCAAGTTTCTATTAAAGGAGCAAAATTAGTAGTTGATCATCATCTCATCCCTAAACAGGCATTACCTTCTCATAAAATATGCGGAATGTCCAAGATACTGTTGTGCAAGTCCTGAAGGAGATAAAGAGAAGCAGTTCAGTCCATCAGATGGAATAATGTACTTTGCAAAGATTTAGATAAAAATAAGAGCTGTATTAAATCCAGCAACATAGTATGTTATGAAGCTAACAACCCAAATAATAAATAATAAATAATAATAATGGAAAATATAGCAGCAAGATTTTAGTTGTCTGCAACATTTCTTTTCTTTGCTTTTTGTTTTTCTTTCCGAGGACATGATCTATATGCAGATCATTAACCAAAATCCATAATGACCTCCAACAATAAAACAGCTAAACTCCAAATGTCTAAGAAATTCAGCTTCTAAATTTTTTGTAACAGCAATATTTTCTTTTATATTGGGGACGTGAGCTATATGCAGCTTACAAACCAAAATCTGTAACAACCTGCAACAATAGATCATCTAAACTCAAAATATCAAAGTACGGTAGGTTCCATGCCATATTTTATATAAGAGTACCACAAGTTCTAAACTTTAAGATTAATGCAGGTTCTAAATGATTGCTAGAAAACAACTACAAACAATATGTCCCTTACTTGGGCGGGTGGAAGGACTCTCCTACTTGCCGCCATAACTTTGATGCAGTCACCTGCAGTTACCCAGAATATAATCCAACAAATAAATATTTAGACATGATCTCTTACTCCAGCACATAATTTAATGTAATCAAAACTCCAATTGCAGATTCATATATTGAAGTGCAATTTTAAACTCAACCAAGTTTTCAGGAAGTTTTTAAATACTCCTAAAGTCCTTGTAGCTTATAAGTTTAGGGTTTTAATGATAATAAAACCAGGGCAGCAAAAACTCTTATGCAAGCAATTATAAACCACAATAAGAGTTATCTTTTACTAATCAATAGAAACAATAATAATTCCTCTTGTCAACATCAATATTACATGAATGGAAAAAGGTAAAGTTTTTTAAAGTGGCATAACGCATTGTGCAAAGGAACCCACAGAATCTAAGAAACAGTTTCCTATATAATCAGGGCCAAGGCTTAGTCAATATTCCAAGCATATGCACAACTTCCTAAATAACTATATTCAAAAAGTTTGTCTGTGTTCCAGTTCCATATAAAGTTTTGAGGAGCGAAACAAAGAGTTAGGGATTTGGTTTGATATGAGCCTAGCATTTTGCAAATTTAAGCTCAAATTTCTGTAATGTTAAAAGGCCTTCAATGCTGAAGGTACCTGAGTAATTTAAAATGCAAAGTTAGAAATAAAGTCTTTCATATAGTTCACCAAATAGGATGGTGCATGCAATCAGGCAATAGATGTGCACTTCCGCACATTGCACCCTTTTGTATGTGTCAAAAAGAAAGATAGTAGATGGAAAGAGAAAAGAAAGAAAGTATATGGAACAATAAAGAGAGAAGAAGAAGACAAGGAAGAGGAAGAGGAGGAAGTCAGCTAGGGTTTTCTAGTCCTCACAGTTTGAATACCAAAGTCTAAAAAATGATTTACATGAAGGCGGGAGGCCAATCCAAGTCAAACAAGGAAACAAAAATAAAATAAAATCACACCATAAATGGAATCTAGAATAATGGAAAGTTCCCAAACAAATTAAATAACATTAAATAAACTGCATAAATTCTAACATTCCCACTCAAGCGCAATAAACTAGTACCATAGCACGGCTGAAGTGATGCTACAAACGAATATTTTTTTGACACATAGCCAAACAGTAACAGGTCAGCCAATAAACTTAAGAGCAGTGTTTAACGTCAGGAAAATTAATTTATGACGGCTCACATTCTAATGTCCAAGGGATTCTTATTTTGAGTTACCCAAATCAAAACCTTAAGAGTTTTAATAAATCATTGAAGCTCTTCAAAATTCTCTTTGATTCTCATAGTATTTATCTATACATTGTATCAATGGACATGGCTCCACCTCTCCTCATGTGTGAAGCATATGGGTAGACTTGGGGTGACTCCAAGCCACCTTTGGTGTGTTTGTCAACACCAGTGTGATGCCAGAATTTTTCTTTAGGGAGTGATTAAAAACACCCAAAGGACGGAGTGAGTCCGGATCTCTTTTTATTCCTTCCTCTTACTATTTTCCTACATCACATTTCTGGAAGACATAGGAACTATTGTTTCATTAAATGTTTCTTTGCAAATCATGTTTCAAAAGCATTCTTTTGGAGCTGGTGATGGATACAAGAAGACAATTTGCATTTGTCTGAGCATAACATAAATCTTAGAAAGGAAGTTAGTAGAATTATACTTGTTTTCCTTTCGTCAAAATCAATCCAGAACCAAACCAGTTTTACCTGCCTAAGTTCCCTATACATAGATGGTTACACTTGGTTCTTGGTTAATTTGAACAAGTTCAATTTGTTTTTTCGCGCAAAATTGAACTAATTTGTGAGAAATTAATTCAATTTGCTTTGAAAATTCAAAACTTTTTGGGTGAGACTATCACCATCATACCAAAGTTTTGAGATTGGAGGTAGTTAAAGCTAAACTCTCTACTCCTTTCTAGGTAATTTACTATATGGAATTTTCATAAGCCTGTTGAATTTCAGAATTTAAGATTAGACTTGAAGTTGTCAAATTTTTGCTTTGAATGTGACATATTGTAGAACCTTGCAATCCAATACTATTCTTGGATTATTAATGGTTTTAAAAATCCAGCAACCCCTACACAACCACCTCTAATACAATAACAAATTCTACAATCTAAAAGATTGAGACACAAGATTTGTAGCTGACAACAAATGTGGTTCAGAACATTGTTTTTTCTCAGACGCTTTTGATGACCAAATGTTTGTGATAAATAACATCCAATGTAAGTCCAACTAATTGGTTGGTGCAGGTTAAAGACAAGACTGCACACCAGCAGTACCCTTAGTCATTTTGAAACTTCAAACACCCAAATTGAAACTTCGTAATACCCTTTTAACATTCTTCTATTTGTCTCAAACTTCCATCAAATATCTTCATCTTCTATATCTTTTATTTTTTTCCTCTCAGGGTAAAGCATTAAAGTTGTGAGTCAAAGCCTATGGGAAACAGAAAGAGAATCACAAAAAGGCCCATAAATGTTATACATATGGACCATAATTGTTTTAAAGATCAAAATTAATAGAGTTGAACAATAACGTCCTGATTTTCTCAAAGTTACCAAAATTTACCAAATTCACTATATATAGTAGGTGAACTTTCCCTCACATGATTCAGACAATATTTCATATGCCACAAATATAGTTGGTGAGCTTTTCCTCACCAAAATCATTGTATAAAGTTGGTGAACCTTCCCACACATACCATGAATGAGCCTACTATAATTCAACTATCAACTCGTTTAATCTACTTATCAGGTTCCATTCATTTGCATCTATCATAAGATTCCAGTATTTAACAGTCCAGACAATAAATTAACGATAGGACAAACATTTTTAAATTGCAAAAGTATAGTTTTAATAAGTTTGGCATGGTTTGGTGAAATTATAAACCAGTAAATCTATGGAACTTTCAATTAAATTCTACTTGAGTACAAGCATTCTTTGCAATGCTTTGTCTACAGCAGACAGATATGAAATTATCCTAAGCATTAAGTTTAATTAATCCAAAGAGAAACAAGATGCATACATACCACATCGTAGCCACCCAATCTAGTAACAGCCCTCCATAACCTACATCCCACAAAAAGTATGCAGAGATTAGACCACACCTGATTTCAGTCTTCAGACACACATAATTACTCTTTTATACGCAAAAGACACATAATTTATACAGTGAAAATAATTATTTCCAGAATCTTACTTGAGGCAATTCAGAGGCTCTCCATAAAACTTAGGGGCCTTAAATTCCAAGGTGTTTTCCTTGTAGAAACTTTCCACCTCCTTCATAAATGCTGCTTGCTGCAATGGTGTACCATCCCCCGTATCCTCAGCCTCAGCCATCTGCAAATTAGAAAAGCAAAGTAAAAGAAGAAATGCAATTGAGAAATATAGCCAGGAAAGAGAACACTCATTGCATTAAAGTCATTCATAAACAAAAACATTATGTCTGGAACTAGGTACCTCGGTATCGTTCGACCCATTCTTCAACTCCCCCACCCCTACATGTTTATCTACAGGTTTGAGCTGATTTTTGACAGTGGCATTGCTGCCATCAGCCTTGTTTTCTATGGGCACATCACTAAGAAGAGCCTCATTGACTTTAACATCATCACCAACATTCCCCTCATGAGTAGCCGGCTTGTCCTGAATAGCATCCCTCATAATTTGATCATTTGTTTCTGGTTGAGGTGGCTGCCCAAGTTGATCCTTCTCTTGGCCCAATTTTTCCTTGTCCTCCATCTAAATTATACTGATTTGATTTTACACTCTGAAATCTGAATGCAAATAATATTCAATCAGATAATGTTCATTTTATATATACTAGTAAAATGAAGTAATATATATACTGCTTACTTCCTGGCACTGAATGGAATAAAACAAACACATAAATTAACAAAACACAGGAGATGCAATGGCACTTTTGGTTTTCCCTGTTCTTGAGAAATAGTTTCTGGAAAATCCAAACCCTAACATTCGGCCTGGTCCTAGCAAGAGTGTGACGTTCTCAATCTCTTGTTTTATTTTTTAAATTAAATAATAAATAAATAAATAAATAAAGTACGAAAGAAAGAACGCACAACCAATCGAAGTTGTTTGCTGCGGTTTCGTTGATTTAACTAGGGGACCAAAGAGAGGAATAATAAAATTGGATCAAAAGACACGAAAAGAGTTATAATTTATAAATTCAAGCACTCAAGAGAATACCAAGAAAATGGGTCTTAGAGAGAGAAACGCGGTGAAGCGAAGCTTGCCTTTGTTGCCTGTAGGCTGCAGGGGTAAAAGTGGCGGCCTAGACTGAGACTGAGAATGAGAGTGAGAGACAGCACCGGCAGAGAAGTGAAACGGCGTCGTCTAGGGCAGGGTAGGGCTTTGGGGTTGGAAATGCAGCAGCAGGAGGTAAATTAATGGGAGGGCAGAGACAGATAAGTAAATAATAATACAAGGAAAGTGAATTGTTGTTATCCGGAATACATGGAAACGTACCTTTTTGTTTTTATGAATGAACTATGGCATCATGTAGAGTAGAGCTTGTAAGTAAGAGAAGCAACTCTCAGTGCTGCAATTTTATTTAACGCCGGTCGACAGTTGACGAAGACGACACCAAAATTCAGCAAAAACCAAAAGCCACTGCTGGCTGGCGAGTGGTGATCTGCTCTCTCTCTCTCTCTCTCTCTCTCTCTGTACTCTTTTGTTCCTCCTCTCCGATTTAAAAGCACTTTTGACTCGACATTAGTGAACACTCAACATCTGGACAATTTATCTTACCAAATTCAATTCCAGGGCTTTTTAAATGGACCTGTTAATCGGTTTAGTTTAACATGTTTTTTAATATATTATTTTTAAAGTTTTAAAAGGGCTTAAATGTCTATTTGGGCTCTAATTCTGCTTGATCGTGCCCAGTTAGATGGCCCATACTAAGCAGTTACGAGAAGAAGGCCCAGAAATGGGTTAAGGAATCATGATGATATTATAAAAATACCTGCGAAAAGCATTAATTTTTTAATCTCAAGTTGGTATTAGTATTAATTGTTGTTGGAGAACATCAGAAATTAACCAAATAACTGAATAAAAACTAAAACGAAATAAATTCTATTTATAACAATAGATCAAATCAATACAACAGTAAATTAAATTGAAAATACTGATTTTGTTGGTGATAAAGTCCTGCAGAGTTGCAGTGTCCTTATCACAAATCAAAGCCTATAATTTGATTCCAAAATTCTATGTACTCTAGCTTAAACGAATTATCTATTATGTAATGGTTTGAAGACCAGTGACGGACTCAGGAATCTTACCTTATAGGGCATAGTGTAAAAGTTCTCCCTTTTTTTTTGGGTGGCGGAGGCGGCAATGGAGGAGATGGGGATTAAAGGTTTTGGAGAGGCTGGGATCAAGTGGAGGGGTTATGGAATGGCTGGAACTATTTTAACTTTTTAAAACGACGCTGTTTTGGCCTATGTGTTTAAAAATAAAATAAAAGCGCTATGCCTAAACCAAGCCGTTTTGGCCAGCATGTTTTAAAAAAAACTGATACCTCAAGAAGACCTTCAAACTTATTTTCATGGAGTCCATAGGATCGTTTGACCCTATTAACCCCACTATGGGTCCGTCTCTACTGAAAACTGATACCTCTTCATTGAACAACTGTTAACAAAATTTGAATTTCAGATAATGATATTATCTAAAAAATGAATTTATCATTAATTATATTTAGTAATGATTAAGCGAAAAAATAAAATCTTTGTTGAGTCGCACGCAATGAATACAAAAACAGAAGAAGCTTCGACGTGGAAACCATCCGGAGGAAGTCTTCACACGTAGTTCACAATCTAGACTTTTGACCAATAGAAAAACAGAAGAAGCTTCTGGGAAACGAATTTCCTCAAATAACCCCAACAACTTCAACAAATTCGAATATCCTTGAGTTTGGCAGAGGACAATTCTGTCCAATCCTAAAACATACCAGAGAGGGTGGCGGTTACATTCCGCGTCCTCCTCCTCACGTCAGGCTTCCCTTCCTTGGAATTAATTTAAAAGTCCGCGTCCGCCTCATTGCAGGTTTCCTTCCTACAAATTAATTTACAAGTCCGCCTGCCTTTATGACAACTTCAACATTCTCCATCTTCTCCTTCAACCCATGTATATTAAAGAGATACGAGACAAGTGTTTTAGGTGAAGGCAAGGGTTTTTTTTGTTGATCAATTAGAATGGGAGATTGCAGGCCATTGGGTTTCTTGCTGGGTTTGCCTTTCGCTTTGGTTGCATTGGTCTTATCTGTTGTTGGTGCTGTCATCTGGGTTCTTGGGTGAGTTCATTCTTACACATGCAATGGCTGTCTTCTTGTTACATGAATTATCTTCTTCTTGTTAAATCAATTTCTTAGATGTAATGTTCTTTCTTCTTTTTGTTTTGCAGGTCGGTTTTGAGTTGCTTGTGTCCATGCTGCTGTTGTGTTGGTGGGCTAGCGAATTTGGCGGTCACTCTTATCAAGCTTCCTGTAAAATAATTAGATGGTTCATCGATCAGATCCCTTGTTGAAGATGTCAGAGTTGGGTTTTCTAGGGAATTTGTACGATTATTTGTTCTGATTTTTCAGAAAATTCATGATTTGTAATTAGGTAGTATATTCGACTACACCACCATATATTGTTTGATTATATGTTGCATTTGTTATTTTTCTTCATCTGTGTCGAGTTGGTTAAGAGTTTGTGCACTGGGCTGATAGAGGACTCCATGATCGTGGATCGTGGGATAGGAAGTTTTCTAATTGAAATTTTATATGATATCAACACATGGCACCTCACACTTCTCCTCAAATTTTGCGATAATTTTTTTTTTTTTTTTTTTTTTTTTTTTTTTTTTTTTTTTTTGCGGATATAATTCACGTATTTCATATAAATTTCATTATCATATTAATAATACAATCTATATTATGTGGACTTTCTTGGAAGATTTAGGGCCGTTTAATATTTTACTTGGATCTATTTTTTAAACTCAAAAACAATTTTTGAGTCTAAAGCCCATAATTCTCTTTTGATAAAGCCCATTTTTCAAAAGTCCAACTAAAAACAACTTTGAAAAGGACCAATTTTTTTTTAATTTATGAAAAAGAGGTTTTACAGTTTCTCTCTCTCTATCTCTCTCTCTCTCTCTCTTCTTTTGTTAATTTTAATTTGGGAATCTAGGGTTTCTGATTTAAATTTCAAATTTTTTTAGGTCTTAAAAATATTTTGGAGTTCAATATCAAACAAGTTTTTAGATCTTAAGATCAGTATATAAATACTCATGTTTTAATAAAAATCATGATTTTTTAGTTCATATATTTTTAGTAACATATTAAATAGTCCCTTAAAAGCTTTGACATAAGCCCACACACACGCACTCAAGATGGTATCTAGTTTGAGTTACAAACATTTATTAAAATAAAAGTAACTTGGTGGCTATTTTTGGATCATATTCCTAGTTCTAATCATTGTCAAATTTTTTCATTTGTCAAATAGGGTTTAGTTTTTAATAACGGTATGGGCATCAACTTGACCAACTTATAGTTATAGATACCATCACATGTGGCAGTCCATTTTGTTCTTTCATCTCATCTTTCTTTTTGAAATTCCATAATTTTTTGCAACAAAAAGAATTTCACCCAACAAAAAAACACACTTTACGATTCCCCTCCCTCCTCCCTTTCACTTCAATAAAACCCTAAAAACACAAGGACTTATATCATAAACAAATTAGTTAATGATGACCTTGATACAGAAACAAAAAGAATAAATGAGATTAACGTGTTGATACCTAAGAAGACGCCCACAAATCAGCACAAAGAAAATAAAAGTTGATGATGGCAATGCGTGAAGTAAACTACAAATGCAGCAGAATCGGAGCAGCATGATTGTATATTTATTAAGTTGCCTTACTTAACAGGATTTGCATGAGTGAGCGCCAGAGTGAGCTTCAGCGAATCAGCAGAGTGAACGACGCGAGAAAAAAAATTCAAGAAAAACGCATTTGTTTTGTTTTCAATAATAGGGGTCTTTGAGTTTGATTTGAATTTGAGTTTTTAAAAATGAGCCTACTATACGAGTTTTTGGGCCTTTAGACTTAAAATCTGTTTTTAAGTTTATAAAATTAGACTCAAATCAAATACTAAACAAGCCCTTATTTTTTATTCCAAGAACAGGAAGGTTCCACCAAAAGCAAACAAGGTTGAGATTTACGACCCTTTTTGCTTCATTCCTTTTGACATTGCTTGTCAATGAAATTGAAAGAAAAAAATAGGCTATGATAGAAGGACTAGCTTCATATCTAAAGTTTCAAACTTTTAATAAATAAAAAACCAAATGGTTGTTCCCTCATCATTGTGCTACAATGTCAAGATCTAATTAAGAACATGAAATATGATAACCAAACTTGCAACCTAGCTTAATTCAATTTCATCTGATGCAGTGGCAAAATCGAAGATTGGCAGCGTTCAAGGTTTCTTCTTTCTGGGGGGGGGGGGGGGGGGGGGGGGGGGGGAGGGGGGTTAATGTTGAATGTCTGGTCTATTTTTCTTCCTTTTTTGAGAACAAAATATGTAATTAAAAAAAAAAAGAGGCGGTGGTGACATGGGATGCCATGTCATGTGCCACATGTGTTGGTGTTAATAAAGTTGGTAAACAAGTTAGTGCATGTTTTAAGGATAATGCTAGGGAGACCATCTATTTGTATCATATTTGTGTACCATCTAATATGGCTGTTGAGTTGGCTATGCCACATCATTAAATGAGTTTTTAACATTTTTATTTTTATTTTTAATTTTTTTTCACCCTTCACTTTATAGAAACCTAAGTGACATCAAGTGCCAGTACATCCCCTAAGGCCTCCGTCGCGTCGAGGCACAATACCTCCAGCTCAACGACTCCTTCCTCCCCCACCTGATGCCTCCGAGTCCTGTTGGGCCGCCTACCAAGCCCCAGCCTCCTAGTTTGTCCCCAATTTCGACATTCGCGCCTCATGCGGCATCGAGACTAGCTGGAGCTCACAGGCCTACGTGAACACCACCACCAGGCAGCAGTTCAAAGCCCTAGTCGGAAATGCCATGCTTAAGAACGTAATAGATAACTGTAATTAGTCTCTCAAGAACAACTTGCCATGTGCCTCTTGCACCACCAGCTTGTCCAGCTTAAAAGCCTTGTATTTGACCGGCAAGTTCATAGAAAATGTCTCCACTTGCACGGCATACCCCTTGATTTACGTGGCGGCTTTCACCAATCAGTATGGTCCAACCAATATCAGCACCGCCCAGTGCCTGTTTGCACTCAATTTCTAGACGCATAGATCTGATGAGACGAAAATGACTGTTATTTTGATTTCTTTGGTTGCTTGTGTTGTTGCATTCTTGTGGCATAAATATGACCAATTTGTGATCAAGAAGAGGAGAAAGGATTATAATGATAAAATTGAGAAGGGTTTGGGTTTTGCCTTAGATTCAATTAGTTGAAGCACTACTTTGATTAAGTTTAAATATGAAGAGATTAATGCCCAGGGCCGGTCCATTGATTTTGGAGACCCTGTGCAAAGAGAGATGTTGAGGCCCTATATATACAACTAAAAAAATGTCATAATCCATAAATAGAACCAAATGCACCCTTAGTGACATCAATTACATCCATAAATAGAACCAAATCAATCCTTAATAAAGTCAATTACATTTACTTTCTTTTATTCATAGCCCACTCAATTGTATTTTACATGCAAAAAATGTGAAGGTAGTTCAAAAACTAACAAAAAACATCGACTAGCAACCAACACTTTGTTCAACAACCAAAACAACCACACAACCAAAAACCAACAACCAGCAGTTTAAAAATCATCTAATAAAAACTATCCTCCTTGCATTTTTAGTTGCAAAATCATTAATCAAACTAGTAAAATCAAGTTCTTCCAAAAAATTCACTTTCAATAGATATCAAAGTTAAACAATTTAATCTTTCTTGTGACATAGTTGATCACAAATAAGATTTCAATAACTTCAATTTGGAAAAACTTCTTTCAGCTAAACCAACTGTAACAGGTAAAGTCAATAATATTTTATAAGCAATGATTACACTTGGAAACACAATTTAGTCTTTTTAAAGCACTCAAAATGTCAATGGATGTTTTTGCTTTTTTTAGTAAAATATCTCGTACGACTTTTAACTCTTCAAACAAATCCTTCCCATCAAGTCAGAAGATCTGCCATGTTCCAAAAAAATTTCCAAATGTCACAACATGATTCCAAATTATCTTCATCCAATGAGTTTAACTTGTTTAAAGTAAATAAAAAACAGAAGATATCCTCAAATGCTTGATATTGTTCAAACCTTCTCTTCAAAGAACCAATTGCTTCATCAACAATATATAAAAAGAAATGAATTCTAAATTGTCTTCAACCAATTCATGAGTTGATTGTATGGACTTATCATTGACATTCTCATAAAAATGTCTCTTTCTACGAATTTGACATTTTTCCACAAACATTAGATCAATTTCTATGTTAGCAGCCATTTTTTAGCAACAAACATAGCTTGAGCAAATCCAAATTCTCTATACTTTTCACACAAAAAAACAATCAATCCTTTTATTTGCTCTATAACAACATCAATAAGCATGTCTTTTGCTTGCAATTTTTAACTAATTAAATTCACAACATACAATATATCATACCAAATAATCATGGCTAATAATAACTCAAAGTTTCCAAGTCCATGTCTTGCTAAACGATCAGCTTGAGTCCTAACTTTAGAGTCATTGTCTTGTTCAGCCAATTGGAGTAAAGCTTCTCTTACTTCCACAACTTGAAATCATATTGCTTTGACACTTTCAATGTGACTTTTCCAACGTGTGGTTGACAATGGCTTAAGAGTTAAACCTTTTACATTATCTTGCAAAATTTTTCAGTGCCTTGCAAAATGAGAAAACAAAGAATAAATACATTGTATCACCCCAAAAAAAATCTTTAGCTTTCCTACAAGAGTCCGCAATATCACGAATTGTCAAGTTAAGACAATGACAAGCACATGGTGTGTACAGTGCTCTATGATTTATATGATTATATCTAATAGTCTTTTTTGTACACCTTGATTTTTCCCCTTCATATTGGATCCGTTATCATACCATTGTCCTCTCACATGATTAATATCAAGTTCAAGGTCAAGTTAAGACAATGACAAGCACATGGTGTGTACAATGCTCTATGATTACATCTAATAGTCTTTTTTGTACACCTTGATTTTTCCCCTTCATATTGGATCCATTATCATACCCTTGTCCTCTCACATGATTAATATCAAGTTCAAGGTCTACTAACACGCTTTCTAATTCTTCAACAAAGAGCCCGTTCCGCAATGTATCATCAACTTTTAAGACACTACTACAAAAATTGAAATAGATGATGGGGAAAAACCTTCGTATTTTTCTTTGAAATCCGTCATTAAATCGATTGCAATCTTTTGAATGTCAAACTACGACGGTGATACACCATCGTCTATTATTTGTAAAGACGATGCTTTTACTCCAAACTGTCGTCTATTAATGATAAAGACGACAGTTTTTCTGATAAGGACATTACTTGATTTACTTTTATATTTGCCTTCTTGACCACATGAAATAGTCACATATTTCAATTCTCCCACATCTTCTTTTGTGATATTCTCTTCCTCACAGGAAACCCTAATTGCTTTCCATATTCTCTATAATAGGCAACTATCTCATCAATGTTGTTAAAAGTCATCACAACTCGAGCCTCTTGCACATTCTCTCTATTGTCCAATTTAGACTCCTCACTTGCTGATTAATATATGAACTCCTAAAACTACTCAAAGACATGGTTACAAAACAAAATAGGATCTGCATAGTAGTCGAAGGTATGAAAAAAAGTTTCAATAACAGCAACCAACATAAATTACAAAGACCAATATCCATACAAACAAGGAAAAAGAGGTTTCAACACACAACATGCAAAAAGGGAATAAGGATAGGAGAAAACAAAACTCTAAGTAACATAAGATTACTCTCAAAAAATGAAAAGCATCCAAAGACTTCAAGTATGGAGGGAGGCATGGCAAGCCATAGAAAGAACCAAAAATAGCCAGTTATGAGAACAAAAAATAGCTAGTTATGAGAACTGAAACCAATATTGGACATGAAATACTATCAGTATAAAAGTATTTAATACCGATCTTAATAGTAATACAAATATCAATGATTCAAAGAATCAATCAAAAAATTTCAATCATCACCCAACAAGAAAAAACCCAAGAGTGAAACAGAAATGAACTTACCGTCGTCGCTAACATCGGAGAAAACTCTAGTATGGTTTATTGTTGCTGGCAAATTATGAAGAAGATAAGGGAGGAGGAAGGGGAGGAGGTAGGTCATTTAGGTTTCTATAAAGTGATGGGTGAAAAAAAAAATTACAAATGTTAAAAACTCGTTTAATGATTTGGCATAGCCAACTCAACAACCACATTAGATGGTATACAAATATGGTACAAATAGATGGTCTCCTTAGCATTACCTTTGTTTTAAATGTAACTTTTCTATTGCCATGTTTTAAATGGACCTGCTTAGTTTAACATGTTTTTATATATATTTAAAGTTTTAGAAAGGCTTAAATGTCAGTTTGGGCTCTAATTTTGCATGGCTATGCCCTGTTGGATTCCGTAGCTTTGTATGGCCCAGACCAAGCAATTATGAACTTATAAGAAAGAAGGCCCAGGAATGGGTTAAGTATCATGATGATATAACAAGGAGGAGTATTCTTTGACTTCCATATTAGGGATTAGGATTATTCTTCCAAAGTTCTTGATTACGAGTTAGAAGCCTACATGCATTTCACTTGCCAAACTCACTTGCTACATCAATGGTTTGACCCACTGTTTGTACCCAATTTTGGTAGACGGGCCAAAATGGTCTCAAGTTTTAAAAAGGATTTTTTAAAGGTAAAGCCAGGCCCACCAACATTTGTTTGTTCTTAGGGTCATCCTTTCCCAACTGAGCCTCTCATAATAATTAAAAAAAAGGCCCAAGCCATGAGAGTCAAACCTTTATCTCGCGCTACAAGATTGGTAAGCGTGTTTTCTGAGCCCACGTGGGAGGTCGAAGGGGATTATCGCATTTAATGATGACTTGACCTCCTTCTCTCCCAGCAAGAAAACAAGTCGTACTGAAGCCCCCAAAACTAGAAAAGATCAAAATTGCCAGCTAGGTTTTCAAGTATAAAGAAGTCAAATCAAGAAAGCTCCACGAAGGAAATCGACGGTTTTTGCCAGAAATCCTCCATCATTCCCTCTATGAACTGGTTAAGATCAGCAAACTAGTAGCTAACCTTGAACCACAAGCCAAAGGTCATGTCGCAGTTTCTATCATTACAAGCTCATCCACCTCTATAAATAATGAAGGTCTATTTCAGAAGAAGGGGACTCTCTCTCCAAAACTAGACGCAACGTCTCAAAAAACACTTGAAAAACTCCCAAGATAATAATCAGCTTGCTTACTTTTTCTTTAGATAACCAGTTGACGACTCCTGCGTTTATCTGTCGTAGCTCTGCCATATCTATGGTATGATTTTTCTTTTAAGACGTTTTTTTTTATTTCAATTCATGTAATCGTTTGAACTGGATTGAGAAATCTCCAGTATCTTTTCCTTTGCTTTGTAATTCGGATTTCAAGGATTATTGATGGGTTAATTAAAGAATCTTCTGTTATTTAGTATAAGGTTCAGGATAAACATAATTTGCAGAAGAATCTATATAGATAAAATCCACTTAATTATCTGAAGAACGAAATATGGATCATTTTAATACATAAAATTGGATTCCCGCCCTTTTACCCCTCAAAATAGTCCAGAAAAACTAGTATTCGAGCCCGAAAGGGAATAAGGACCCGAAAGGAATAGTAAAAGAAAAGGACAAAAAGTTAAGGTGGGCCCGAATTAACTATATATTGATCTAGTTGAAAACGAGAAAATATTGAAGTAGGTTAATAAAGCCCAGGTAGGGTTTTTTGCTAACCACGAATTTGGTCTTGCTCTGTTGCCTGTTCAGGTTCTACTCATACTTGTCAGGGCGATACTCACAAAGGAAAGAATATTGAAGTTCTCTTAATTGAGGCATATAAAAGAATCTATCTGGGCCAGTACCCCTCCTAGAGCACAATGGCTTGGTAAGAAGTCCAGAATGGAGGCGCGAGCTCCATCAACATTAATCACTCATATCCACACCAGATCTATTGGGCTAGTTATATACTTAATAGTGGCACGCCTACGCAACGACAAGGATTAGTATTAAAAGAAGTTGACAGGTAGGGCCTTGGTCGGGCCCGGCCGCTTTGGCAAACTGATTCAATTTTCAATTTTGTTCAGAAATTGAAGGAGTCCTCTCTGCGAGCCAAGAGACACCATCTGATCGGGGCATTGGTGTTGATCCGCCAAATTCCTCTTCATTCCTCAGAGCAGAGCTGATCCCTGTGGTTGGCGAAAAGGAACGAAGGACGGAAAAAAGGACCAACACCCACTTCAAGGCAATATCCACAGAGGGAAAATTGTGATACAATGTGATTGTTACTTAGCTCATTGTTTTTGTCAGGCCTTTACACTGTTAGATCCAAAGAACAAATCATTCTATTGTAGTTTCTTTATTGTAGCTTCATTGGTCGTGCATCCATTGCTAAGGAATACAAGGAAGTATTTAAATATATATATATATATATATATTGAGAGCTTTTACAATTTTGACCTCTCAGGGTGAAAATTATAGATCAACCACTGCTTACTTGACTTTAGTGTTCAAAGTATCGTGCTACTACTTGGATTGACTTGAATTGTCTTCCGTAGTATATCGTTTTGAATTCACCGAAGTTAGAGCGATCAAGCACTCAATTGAATTCACCAAAGTTGGTGAATTGACCCAAAATTCACTCAATTATTAATTGTGCCGTTCTTTCTCCTCCACTAAATGTAATGTCTACGGTTGCAGCAAATGTTGATCTCTCTTCCAAAACGCATTTCAGGAAGGAACTATAGAAGTACACCCCTACTTTGATGATGTGAAGTGTGAACAAGTCTTCTAGCTGATGAAACCTGATGTGCTCATCTGTGCTGGCTAACAGATGCCTGCTGTATTGAATTTGATTTGCTTTCTTCAAGAATATTTGCTGCCGTAACTTAGAATTGATGTGCAAAAGTAGTGGATTACTCAACTTCGCTTTTAATTCTAATATCTGGTCACAAGACTAAAAGTTGCCTTCGGTATATTTTTGCAATTTTTTTGTTTTTTCACAAATAGATGATGTAAAATTTTGCTTCAATGGAGGATTGATGTAGTACAGGCCGTAGGTTTTAGATTAAGCACTTAAACAATAGAACATAGAAGAACATGAGAGACTGATGAGAAGAAATATAGATCTAAAAGATGAGATAAAGGGCAGAAACAGTAGAACAAAGAAGAATATCGGAGATCAATGGACGAAATCAGTGAGTTCTAGGAAAAGGTTTACTCAACACATACAAATCTAAAATTCAAAGAACTACATGGGGTTATTTATAGCAAACTAAAACCTAGAAATAATATGATAAAAATCCCTTGCTTAAACAGAAATCCTAACCCAAGTAAAATAGGAAATTTTAAACTAGAAATATGGAAATATGGATAAGTAGAAGTCCTACTAGTAATTGGAAAACTAGAGAATCTAATAAACAAACAAATACATTAGGAAACTAATAAATTTAGGTCCTACGCGTCCTGCATCAAGGATGCTTTATAGTTGCTTCACATTCGGGCCACAAGCCACATGAAGAAGGCGGACCAAAAAGTAAGCGTTACTGAGGCAAAAACATAAGCCCACAGCATGATAACTGAACATTCCTTTTCTCCTGCTCCGAACAATTGAGCCATTATTCCTGCCACAATCAAGAATAAATTACCACAATCAATCCATATTGTAAGGAAAAATAACGACTATTGATTAGGAGAAATAACCAGTCACGCCGATTGTAATTTGCATTGCTAAAATTGAAAGGAGAAAAAACCCACCAGAAGACCGTACGTACGTACGTACCTATGTTCATTGCTGGTGGGAGTGAAAACTGAAGCAGAAGAACAAACACATACAATGGATCATAATGCACCAACCCAAATTTTAATGCACCTTTAACAACCAATATGCCTGCAAGAGGCAGGGCAACATAACGAACAACGATAATGCCAACAACCACAGATTTCTGTATCCCTGGCCCTCTCGAACCTGGAAGAACAACGTGAATTAAGTCAAAACTTATGAGAATATATGTAACATGTGGAGCTTAATAAGTAGGAATTATAATATTACCTGCAAGTAGGTTTCCTCCTATTATCAAAGTAAGACTTGGGATGGCTGCGTCTCTGCAATCATATGGAGAGGAGTTGACAGACTAAATAAGTAATACACGAACAAAAGTGTTCTTGTTAACCTAAAACAGAAGAATAGTAGTAATCTAACCCCAATAAAGAAGCAGTGTCTTGAACCACCCGTAGAGGAGCGCCATCTCCTATCAATAGTTTTTCGAATCTGAGGTATGAGTCCAATCACAAAACCAACCATCTATACAAGAACCAAAAAAAAGAAGCTAAGTTTGGTCAATGTGTCAATATATCACATAATTATGACGCAAAATAATTTAAGTGTTGAAAGGGCATACTGCTCCAGTAGTAGAAGGGGAAAATATTGTTTTCAGATTGAGCTTTCCAAACACCATCATAATACGTTGCTTTATTACTTTACCTAAACTTGTCATCTGCCATGACAAACAACAATCATCAGAAATTGAAAAGAAAAGGGTAAATATGTTGGAAGACAGCACATCATACATTCGAAAAAGGTTTATTTCATTAGTAGTCTAAGAGCTTGTTTGGGAATGCTTCTTTAGGAAGTACTTCTGTTCATAACCGCTTCTAACAAAAGTACTTTTATTATAAAAATTTAGAATTTTCATAAAAAATTAAAGTGTTTCATGGAAAAGCACTTGAGATTGTTTCCTGAAGAAGCACGTAGCAGGTGCTTTTCTAGGAAGCGCTTCTAAATTTTTCTGCCAAACGCTGTCAAAAGTGCTTTTAGTTATCAGAAAACGCTTTTGGCCCTCCCAAAAGCACTCCCAAACTGACGACATAATATGTCAAACTATATGACAAAGAAACACTCTTTTCATAATCAAATCTTAAATAGTTGGAAATAAAGCAAACGGTCATGGTAACTTGATGGAGTTAGCAACCTTAGCGTTTTCTTCAGATATAGCAGTGCAGGGCAGTGCATATTGATCCGCAGCATTGTCCTCCACTTCCTCAGATTCCTTCGAAGAAAGCGGAGGCTCAGTGCAACTTACTTGGTTTGGTGTGGAGGATCTCTCTGGAGATTCGTGGGCATTTTGGGTGCCCCTCTTTGCAGATATCCTCACAATATTATACACATAGGACCACAAATACATGGCTCCTATCTGGAGAGTAAAACCAATTAACTTGATAACTTATCTTGAGCATGTTCCCCATCCTTTCTTACTTTGAGTAATATAAAACTAGATAAAGGAATTTGAAGAAAAATCAAAATATTAGCAGCAGCAGCAGCAGAAGAAGAAATTAATGTACCGCCATTGAAAGTGAAGCATAAGCCACTGCAAAAGTATGACAGACATCAGGAGCTCCAAATGGACTCCCTTTTTCTTTACACACTGCTGGGACTATAATAAGGAGCATGAATCCCAAATTTCCTGTTTATATATCAACTCAGCAGAAACAAAAATTATCAGTGATCTAGACGAAAAAGAAAAAAGAAACAAAAATTATAAGGTAAATCTGTGTTTGTTTAGCAGTGTTTACCTCCAGCACAGCAACCTACGACAATGCCTCGCAGATATGCAGGAGGTCTTGTTAACAGGAGGAGTATCCATCCTAGGATCGAACCAACAATAAATGTGATGAGGATATTCACCGGCATGAACCACCTACGCACATACAAATATATACACATTCAATCATATCAAACTTCTTTTAGAGATTTAATTCTTCCATTAGATATTAATGAACAAAGCTTGAGCAATAAATCTGCCTATAATAAACAAACTGGTGCAGTAACCATATTGATATTAATTTAAACTCACAATTTAACTATGCTTTTAGGTGTTATTGTCCGCGCAAGGTTGCTGCTCACCAGGGCAGGACTGAATACGTAAAATACAACCTGTTGATCACAAACACAAGTATGTATGTATGTATACACGTATGTATGCATTTACTATATATACGTATTTATTGCAGTAAAGTAAGCAACAGCGGATGATATATCCATCATCACTGCATCATGCAGAAAGTGTGAAACCATAGAAAATCTATTTTTGAAAGAAAGATATAGGGTGTTCAACTTGAAGAATATAAAAGGTGATGATTTGGGAAGCCACAGAATCTATAGTTTCCCTTTTTTCTTAAAGAAAAATGGATAAAGATGTTAAATGAAAATTCATGAATGAATTAAGAAGTTACCGTGTTTAAGTGCTTCCTAGCGTCTTCCCCCAAAATATTGACGCGATCAAGCGCAAGATATGAGCCAAGCACAGTGATGAAGAGAATTTTCAGTACTGGGATTAAGGCGGTGATGAAGAGCTGCAAAAGCTCCATTATCCTTGATGAATAATTATTAGCCCTTCACTTCACAACTCTGCTCTGGAACTGGAAACAATGAAGAGCTTAATTTACCTATTCTGGAAACAAATAGACAAGTGTTTTTTTTTTGCAACGTCCTATCTCAAATGCCAGTTTTATGAGAGGAATTGAAGAAAACATATGGTTGGTTGCAGAAACTTAACACCTGCAAAGAAGCTGCACATATTCATTGGTATTTATATGCATGAGTCGTCAGGTGTTGTTTGTCTCTTCTCTTCGTGGATGGCTTAGATAACGACACGCACTTCATGTCTCCGGTTGCTAAAGAGGGGAGAGCTTAGTGGAATCACACGTTGGAATTCAATTGCTATAGCTATAAATACACTGATTTCTTAATATGGTAAAATTCTTGTGCAATGTGCACCCGGTAATTATTACTGAAGAAAATTTAGGACATAAAGAACGATGAAGGATAGTGCCCTAGCTAGTACACGATTGACAGTGTAGGATTAGACTAGATTAGACTTGACAGGTGCAGATCTACTATCCCCAAACTTCTTGTCCTCATGTCTCTTGTCTATTTTTTTGACATGTGTTATTCTACTTAACAGAGAATTAACTTTGTTAAGTTTTATTATTTTGCATTAAAAATAAAAATAAAAAAAAACACCTCCAACATTGTCCCCTGAAAAAACGTGGAGGAAGAGTGATGCAGATGAAAAGGCATTAAAGTTTATGGAGCATTTGGAAAAAAGCTTTAGTAAGAGATATTCGTTTTGTTTTGTTAGTAAGCATGAATGTTTTGTTTTGACTTTTAATAAGTTCCATGTATTTGGAATAGCTAAAGTCGTAATTATTTGAATGGGGTTTAATGTATCTGGATTAATGGGTTTAATTAAGAGATATTTAGTCATATACTCATTCTTAACACTAAAATTATAAATAAATCCTTCACCATTTAATTTCAATAAACAAACTCAAAAAAAACCCAAAAAACTATTGAATTTAATTTTAATTAGTAAATTACTTTGATGTCCTATTGAATATTTTGGGCTTTTTTAATGAGGTTTTGGGGTTGGGTTTGTTTTAAGAAATCAATGGCAGTTTTGTAATTTAAAAGAAGTTAAAAGTTTTTGTGTTATGTTGTAAATGGGCTTTGGGTGTGTTTATAAAGTCCATTTTATATATGATTTTTTTAATAATTTGGGCTCTTATATTGGGTATAACTCCCTTTAATTAATTTAGGTGTTAGTTCAAAGTATTAGATGAGAGTTAAGTCTTTAAATATTTGTATGCTCAAACTTATCACGGAGTTGTTGATAATTTGAATTGAAATTAAAGAGAGTGTTCTCTCATCTTTTGCTCATAATCTAGGTATTCTTAGAATCAACATGTTTGAGTGTTTTATCTTGTCTATTGTGCCTAGTTCTAAGTATTCTTATACTAAACTGGCCTTGGTGGTTTGTGTTTCGTGTTCCCAAAACCCTTGCTTGAGTGCCGCCTCATTGGAGAGGAAGAGAGAATTGGGAAGGAGTTGTTGGGTTGCGTGCTTGGGTTTTGTTTTGTTTTTAATTTGGGTGGGCTTCTTTTAGTTATTGTTTTGGATTTTTTCTCCTAAAAATTCTTTCGGAAATTTCGGTGGCAGTATTATAATTTATTTGATGTTCAAGTGTTGTTTTCTTTTTGTAAATTGGGTCCGAGCTTCTTTTGATTGTTTTTTGGTTTTTTTAGTTTTTTTTTGTTGTGAATTTATGGGTTTGGCTTGTTTTAACAAATGTGGTGGCATGTTTGTAATATATAGGAAGTTCTAGACTTGTTTGTTGTTTTATAAATGAATTTTGAGTGTGTTTCTAAGGTTTGTTTCATGTAGGGTTTTGTTATAATTTAGGCTCCTACGTTGGGCCTAATAATGAAGCCTTAAAAAAAAAAAACAAAAAAAAAAAAAAAAAAAAAAAAAAAAAAACATGTTATTCAAAAACCCATTTTAGAATGACATTTATACAAAAACTCATATAAAGCCTATTTGGAGAGAGCAAAACCCAAAACTAGCACACTGTCATTTTCTAATTAGCGCTCGAGCGGGACACACGAATCCAGTGCGTATCCCTGGTGAATGTGGATATATTTTCTCCTAGTTTTGGGGTCCTTTAAGTTTTCTATTCCTTGTATAATTGTATTAAAGCCTTATGACATATAAATATGCACTTTAGCGCTAGGTGTTGATAACGTGAGAAAACTAAGGCATCAAATTGGGTTTGAGCCAAGGGTGAGAGAAAAGAGAGCGAGGGTTTGTGAGAGAGCATAGGGGGTTCTTCATTATAACCAAAGGGGTTCTTCCATACTAGTGATTTTCTCGGGGATCACCAAGAGGATATAGGCACAACGCCGAACCTCTATAAATTCTTGTGTTCTTTGTGTGCTTGTTTACTTTTCGGTTTGTGTGTGCTTTATCTTTGCATGGCTTGTGTGTAATAGTTTTGTAGTCCATTAACGATAAAGTCTTGGAGTGTTTTCGCACAACATATTTATATGTTATTGTCCGCACAAGGTTGCTGCTCACCCGGGCAAGATTGAATACGCAAAATACAACATGTTGATCGCAAACACATGTAAGTAAGTATGTAATACGTATGTATGTAAGTATGTATGTATATATAGTATTAGTGGTGGTAAGCAACAGTAGATGACATCACTACATCATGTAGAAAGAGTGAAACCAGAGAAAATCTATTTTTATTTCAACAACGAAAGAAGACAATCTATTTTTGGAAGAAAGATAGATTGTGTTCATGACTTGAAGAGTAAAAAGGTGATGATATGGGAAGCCACACAGTGGCGAAGTCAGAATTTCATGTGTGTGGAGGCCTCTTACAAATTATAAAGAATCAAAAGTTTGAACTTACAATACATACGAAAAATAGTATATATATATCACATATGTCAAGAATTATATTGTTTATTTGTTGCAATCATAATTGTTCTCTACAAAGGGATAGACAGATACATTTTAAGCAAGAAGAATTGTAAGAGATAGACAAGGAGTAGCGATTTAGCAAATATCTTTAAAGCTTTTTCCCCCATTAAACCCAATAGAAAGAAAAAATCAAAATTTCACAAACTAAAAAAAACCTTTATGCAGGGGCGGCCCTGGGGTGGTGCAAGTGGTGCCACCACACAGGGCCCCAGAAAAAAAATTCTTTATATTATATATATATATATATAATATTAGAGGAATTGTATATATAGTATAACGTGGAGTGTATTGCACAACGGCGTGTTTGGGGGAGTTGGCTGGAGCGCTTACTCATTTAACAACAGGGCCAAAGATAGACTCACGTTGAGGTCGATCTATATGCGTTTTTTTATACTATTTTTTCAACCAAACTTTACATAATTATAATATAATAAAAACAAAAAGCCTTTAAAAAACAAGAAACTTCGAAGCTTAACACAAGGCAGGAGGAGTATATATATCCCCCAAACTATCGTTCTTAAAATTTTTTTAAAAAAAGTTTTCTTCTCCAAGAAAAGTACTTTCTTCATTCAAAACAAAACTTCGTGGCTTATTCTTTCTCTTAAACTCTGATTTTCTGGTAAGTAATCATCATCATTCATCAATCTCTCTTGGTTCTTTTTTCAATCCTTTGACAATTTTTGTTATTCTTTCAATTTTTCAAGAATTTCAACACCAAAAAGAGAAATTCCTAATTCCTAAATTCATAAAGACCACTCAAAGTCAAATAGTCATATTCAAATCTCAATTCAAATTCAGGTATGTATCTAAATTTCAATCTATTCTATATATTAAATGACCTATTTTATTAAATTATTATCATGTTGATGATTGGTTATATGAGAATATAGCTTGTACAAATATTTATCTATTTCTTGCTCAGGTTATTGGGTTTTGTAATTTTTCTTTGTAATCTAAACATGTCACCCACTAGAAAATACGTTTATGGATATACAAAATCGCTTAGAAAAAGAAAATTCGAGGAATTGATTCAATCTCAAAGAGGAGCTCTTGAAGATTCATTTTTAAAGAATCACATGCTACAATTGATGAAAATATTTCAGTGAACAACAACGAGAAGATCAATTTTCAAACATTAGTATTGTACTGGCTGTGTTTTTTTTTTCTTTTGGGGAAAAAGCTCTCATAATAGTTTTTAATTCTTTAAATAAGGACAGCAAATACAATGTGAATGATTTTTGGATATTTAGGTATGTTTTTGTTGTTGCTTTTGTGTTTAATGCAATATAATCTAATTTGTTAATGACATTTGTGTGCAACTATTCTTTAATTTGTGATTGCCAATTTTTTTTCCTATTAAACACAGATTGCTTATTGGAGGCAGCAAGGGACCTTATAGGGGCACAAGGAGCTTATTTTTGTGCCAAACATTTAACTTTATCAAACGGAAACATTTAAATTTTTATGAATTTGATTTTTGATTGTCATTACATATTTATTGATGGTGACTTTTGTTATAAAAAAATTATTTATGGCATTAAGTTGTAGCAAATTTTTATAGTATTTTGTATTAGATTATGTGAAACCCCAATTTAAGTTTCGCACAGGGCCCTCAAAATCTCAGTGACGGCCCTGCCTTTATGCATTCATATCATACATGAAAATATGGTTTATGTAAAAATATTGACTAAGTATGAAAAATGGTTTTTCGAAATAATCATTTTCTCAAGATAATTTTTGGCAGCTTTTATTCCTTACACATCAAATAAGAAAACTTGATTTTATGGAATTTTAGTATAAAATATATATTGACTTAATGAGCCATCATTTTTAGCATAAATCGTATTTTGCACTAAAACCGATTTTTCATATATTTGGTTTGGTGGAATTTGATTTTCTAGCATTTTTATTTGAATTCAAATAGGGGGTACTTCCTTATTTACATTGTAAACTTAAGTAAATGGAGTAATATCAAAATAAATGAAAGTAAAAGGACAAAGACATTTACTTAAATGCTGAAAATAAAAATAAGGTAATTTGTACACCTAGAGTGCACCACCACCAACTGAGAAAAGAGGCAATTTGAAGCACCTTATTGTGCCTTAATAGATCTGCCACAATACATGTGGGTACATACCAAAACATAAAATATTTGAAATAATATATATATATATATATATATAAATACATAACAGTATATTACTTTTAAAATATATAAAAACTTGAGTGGGGACCCGAGACCACGTTGGTCCCAGTGTGGCTCCGCCCCTGAAGCCACAGAATCTACTTTCCCTTTTCTTAAAGAAAAATGGACAAATATTTACATGAAAATTCATGAATGAATGAAATAAGAAGTTACAGTGTCTTAAGTGCTTCCTAGCGTCTTCCCCAAAAATATTGACGCGACCAAGCGCAAGATATGAGACAAGCGCAGTGATCAAGAACATTTTCAGTACTGGAATTGATACGGTGATGAAGAGCTGCAGAAGATTAATTATCCTTGATGAATAATTATTAGCCCTTCACTTCACCTCTCTGCTGTGCAAATATGATGATTGAATATTGATTGAGATGCTAATCATCAGTGCTTGCTGGCTAACAGATATATTCAGTATCGAATTTAATTGCTTTCTTCATGCATATTTGCAGCTGTAACTTAGGATCGATTTGCGGAAGTGGATTGCTCAACTTTGCATTTAATTCTAATAATCTGAGTACAAGATTAAAAGTTGCCTTTGTTTACAACTTGCAAGTAAGTTTGTTTTTCCTTGTTCACAAATTGCATACAACTCTACTAGAAGATGGATGTAAAATTTTGCTTCAATGGAGGATGCTTTGTAGCTGTTTCACACTCGGGCCACAAGCCACATGAAAAAGGCGGACCAAAAAGTAAGCGATACTGAAGCGAAAGCATAAGTCCACAGCATGATAACTGAACATTCCTTTTCTCCTGCTCCGAACAATTGAGTCATTGTTCCTGCCATACATAAGGAAGATAAAGCATATTGTAAAGGGAAACAACACAATCAATTTGTTAGGAAAAAGAATGTCTGTTGATTATGAGAAATAACCAGTGGGGAAAATTGTAATTTGCATTGCAAAAATTGGAAGGAAAAATAACATCAGAAGAGCGTAGCGTACCTATGTTCATCGCTGGTGGGAGTGAAAACTGAAGCAAAAGAACAAACAGATACAATGGATCAGAGTGCACCAACCCTAATTTGAGTGCACCTTTAACAACCAATATTCCTATAAGAGGCAGGGCAACATAACGAACAATGATGATGCCAACAACCAGAGATTTCTGCATCCCTGGCCCTCTCAAACCTGACAGAACAAAGTGAAGTAAGTAAAAACTGAAAAATAAATATGAAAATGGAAAAAGGTGGAGCTTTTAGGAGTTATATTACCTTTAAGTAGGTTTCCTCCTATTATCAAAGTGAGAGTTGGGATAGCTCCATCTCTGCAATCATAAAGAAGAAGTTAAAAGATTAATAAGTGCGAAGAACACGGATAAATCACTAGCGTTGGTTACAGTATGGGCAGAAGTTTTATACCCCAACAAAGAAGCAGTGTCTTGAACCACCCGTAGAGGAGCACCATCTCCGATCAGTGCTTTTCGAATCTGAGGGATGAGTCCAATTGAAAAACCAACAATCTATACAAGAAAAAAAGAAGCTGAGTTTGGTCAATGTGTCAATAAAACAGAGCTGAATGTGCATCAAGATGTATGTGCATTAAGTGCTGGAAGGACATACTGCTCCAGTAGTAGAAGGGGCAAATATTGTTTTCAGATTGAGCTTTCCAAACACCATCATTATACGTTGTTTTATTTTACCAGAAGTTGTCATCTGCCATGACAAACAACATTGATCAGAAATTGAAAAAGGAAAAAAAAACAAACAGAAAAGGGCGATGTTATATTGGCATACTGCGGATCATACATTCAAACAAGAAACATTCTCTTCATAAAGAATATCTTAAATAGTTGGAAATACGTAGACAAAGTGGAAAAACATGGTAAATTGATGGAGTTAGCAACCTTAGCGTTTTCCTCAGATATAGTGCAGGGCAGTGCATAATGATTGGCATTGTCCTCCACTACCTCAGATTCCTTTGAAGAAAGCAGAGGCTCAGTGCAACTTATTTCGTTCGGTGTGAAGGATCTCACCAGAGACTGGGTTTGAATCTTGGGTGCCTCTCTTTGCAGATATCCGCACAATATTATACACATAGGACCACAAATAAAGGGCTCCTATCTGAAGAGCAAAACCAATTGTATGAACAAGGCAGATTGTACGAAATAAAAAGAAAATATTTCAAGAGAATGCACTAAAAAAGAGTGTTCACAAAACATATATGCATGCTTGTCCAGAATTGGATTGTGCCTGTCATATTATACACAGAAAGCTCGCGCTTGAAGTAATCTCTTAAATTCAGCCATTTAAGATCTGGCCAAAACTTATTATGGTATCGAAGATTGATCTCGATTTCAACAACCAGTAATTTGCAATCACATGTGAGAGAACATAGTTTGAAAGAATGGTGGTAAACTATCAAAACTTATCTTGAGCATGTTCCCCATAATTCCTTACTTTGACTAATACAAAACTAGATAAAGGAAGTTCGAGACCAAAAATATCAGCAGAAGAAGAAGAAATGTACCGCCATTGAAAGTGAAGCATAAGCCAATCCATAAGTACGACAGACATCAGGAGCTCCAAATGGGCTCCCTTTTTCTTTACAAACAGCTGGGACTATAATGAGGAGCAAGTTCCCCAAATTTCCTGTTTAAATCAACTCAGGAGAAACAAGGTATATTTTATCAGTGATTTAGAAAGAATAAGTAAAAATTAGTAGGCAATTTAGGGGAACAAAATGTTCACTTAAACATATATATGCTTAAATATGTGTTTACCTGCAGCACAGCAACCCAAGACGAGGCCTCGCAGATGTGCAGGAGGTCTTGTTAGCAGGAGCAGTACCCATCCTAGTATCGAACCAACAATAAATGTGATGAGGATATTCACCGGCATGAACCACCTACACATACAAATATATACACATTCAATCATATCAAACTTGTTTTAAAGTTTTAACCAATAAAGCTTGAGCAATAAATCTGCCTACATGAAACAAACTGGTGCATTAACCATATTGAAATTAATATTAACTCACAGCTTAACCATGCTTTCATATGTTATTGTCCGCGCAAGGTTGCTGCTCACCAGGGCAGGATTCAGTACGTAAAATACAACCTGTTGATAAATAAATAAAAACACACTTACGTATGTAGAAAGAGTGAAACCATACAAAAAAATTCTATGATTTTAGCATCCAACACAATCTAAGGTAGCCACAGAATCTATTTGGACAAAGATACTAAATGAAAATTGCATGAATGAAATAAGAAGTTACAGTGTTTAAGTGCTTCCTAGTGTCTTCCCCGAGAATGTTGACGCTATCAAGCGCAAGATATGAGCCAAGGGCAGTGATCAAGAGCACTTTCAACACCGGAATTGATGCGGTGATGAAGAGCTGCAAAACCTCCATCCTTGCTGAACCTGAATTATACTTGTTATTATCCCTCCCTTCACCACTCTGCTCTGGAGCTGGAAATGAGCTTTATTTACCTCTTCTCCTCTGCAAACATAAAATAAGAAGAACATATGGTGATATATACCTATGAATCTGTAGACGCAGCAGAGAAGAGAAGAGCAGAGTACCTACCTAGCTATTTTCTATTTGAAATTTCCCAAATATTTTTTTCTTCAAGAAATAAATCAAATGAAGGACATAAAAATTCAGAATTCCTTCTCCTCATAGACTCTGGTAATAAATGCTTGAATATGGTCGCAGAAAAACTCAAGTTACCAACAAGAAGCCAACCACATATTTATATATATCATACGGCGCATGTAACACGAGCAAGTCCTATTCAGGAATTAAGAAAAAGGAGTATGCATTTGATTTGCGTCGGCCCGTGTTGTCTATTGTGTTGGTCGATGGCTCAGATAACGACAACTAATTATATCTGGGTTCCTGCCGTTATCCGGTTGCCATTGATGACTTCATCTCGCCATCGCGGGACCCCTCTCGCCATCGCTACTCTTTTTTATCTATTTGGTCAATTTTATCCATGTAATTTTCAATTACAAACAATCCAAGGACACCCGTTAATTTATGCCAAATGAGGTCCCTTGTTTCTCAACCATGTAATTTATGTCTGGCCAAATCAGCCATATGATTAGTCAATCCGTTGTTGAGCAACAGTGAGCGCCTCCACATACTATTCATCTTCAGGGGACCCATGGTTTGCTTGCGCATCCAACGACTTCATTGTTACAACAATCACTTCAGCATGCATCCTCATATCAAAGAGAAACTTCTTCACATCAACCTTGAGCCCATATGCATCAGTATCCTCCTCCGCATAAAACCTGGATTTTACAACTCTCAAAGCTTTTCTTAGTGAGGAGTAGAGATTGAACGAGTTGAGAGAGAAGAAGCATGACACCACCATCCATCTCTCACTATGTAATACAAATCAATGGTACCACACAACCACTTCGTCCACCTTCGAATGAAGAATTTCTCACCCTCTACTTGCCCTTAATCTGAACCTTATGTCAATTGAACCAAATTCAAACACATAAATCAGAATGTTTTAAGAACCCTAATCACCAAATTCCCAATTCGGGTTTGATGTGGAATAGGACGAGAGCAAATTTGTTATGGCACGAGTGGAACAAAATACCCCCCACGTGAAAGAGCACACTTTTAAAAAGTAACAAAGTTAGAGGAATTTGACAGAAATTGACAGATGTCCTTGAATTGCTTGGACTTGAAAACTACATGGATAAAATTGATTAAATTGAAACTACGATTACCAAAATAGTGAAACCATTAAATTATAAAGACCAAAAATCACTTTTTGCGTTATGACTTTTTGTGGTAAAGTTGTTGGCATGCGATGCAGGTTCAATCCCCCATTATATGGTGTTTGTGAAAATACTCCCTTTTTCTTTCTAATTATGGGGAAAAAAACTGAAAGCTTAGTGCATCTTCAAGAAAGATGTCAAAAATCAAACATTAAATTTAAATTTGATGGCTGATATGGCAATTTGACATCCTGCATAGTTTTACACTCCACTTGATATGTTAAATTAAAATATTATTTTACTACACTAGTGTTGACTTAAATGAATGTATTTTTATAGTTTACTATTAAGAATAATTGATTAATCAAGTTAAATTACTTATAAATTAATTATCAAATGTAACGTAAATATAATTAAACAAAAGAAATATCCATCTCCATGTTGGTTGATGATAATTTTTAATTGAAAAAGAAAAGTTGTGTGTTTATAAAATAAAATAAAAATGTAACGGTACAATGGGAGGAAAAAAGTTGAAAAAGATCAACATAAATTTTCAATGGTAAAAATATTCAATGATACTGTAGTGTCAAGTGACAAGAGAAAAAAGGAAAAAAGAAAAAGAAAGAAAGCAAATAATGACATAGCATATAAAGCAAAGGGAGACTTTGGAAAAACACAAAGGAGAGAGAAATTTTGTAAAAGAAGCCAAAATGGACAAAATTGCCCTTATTTATTTTTGGATTTCCTAATAAATCATTTATATTTGCATGTATTTGATTTGAAAGTTGAAAGGTTTTTTTGTCCTTTTTGAAAAAGCTTTGGCTTTTTTTTTTTTTTTTCCTAAAAATTTAATTAAATTTCTTAAACTAGGGTCTCTCTGCGCCTGTGAGAGGCTTTTTTTAAAAAAAAAATTTAATTTATTTTAGAATTAAAAAAGATAATGGGTAGTTGTGTTCCATAAAAATAGGATTCATTATCTTATTTTTCTTTTAATTTTAATTTTTTTTTAATATGAAAAGTGTGAATTTACCATATTATCTTCATTTAATTAATAATTTTAATTCTTAATGTTTGCATTAATCAAATGTATTTTCTGGTATTTTGAATGTTTCATCATTCTCTGCTTTTTGCTTTATATATATAGATAATAACAATAAGGAGAAAAAATAAAGATAAGTATTAAATAAAAGAATAAAGCAAAAACTAGATGGGCAAAGAAATAATAAAATAATCAAAAGACATCTCTAACACTCATTAGAGGTTTCACATGCCGTTCCACGTAGACTATAGCAATTCGGTTAGAGCGAATCTTTACTTTTTTTACGGATTAAAAGTTGATGGGTTTCTCTCATTAGTGGAGGAGAGAAAAAGAAGTAAAATAAATAGTAAAATAAAATGAAAGAAAGGCCTGGAGAATTTGAAGAAAACGAATGGAAGAGAAAATGAGAAAACCAAAAAGCTTAGAGAGTTTTAAGAGATAAAAAAACCTCATTTGTGTGAGAGAGAAAAACCAAGAGAGTTTAGCCACCGGTGTTTGGTGAGATTATTATTATATTTCCATTATTTTCATAGTAGAAAATATTGAGTTTTATTTTTGCCCATTTTATTTATATAAGGGTGGGAAAAGTCAGATCTTGGGACTACCAAATTTATTGGCTCCTTTATTTTTTGCCATCTTTCCCAACAAAAGTGCCACACAGGATTTAACATCTTTCTTGGAGTGACATAAATAGATTATCATAATTTTTTTTTTTTATAGAATAAGCGATAGTTATTATTCATGAACAAACAGAAATACAAAGCAATTATGTATTAAATATGGGTACATCTTCTCTAGTGATCAAACATAACATGTTGAATTGATGTGGAGAGAATAACACTCAATTCAAAAAATGACTAAAATCTATAATTCAGCAACAAGCACATAAAAAAATTATATAGTTCTAAGCATATTATCTTATATTACCTCTCTTGTATCAAAAAAATACAATTCTGTTTAAATATTCATTGGAAAAAAAATTTCTACTTAATAATGTAGTTTAATTGAGTAAGAAGCACATAAAAGATAAAATTATAGAAGAAAAAGGAAACTCTGACTTGTCCACTTTTAAGATTGGGTGCAATAGCAATCCGGTGTAATAACAATTGAGTTGAAGAAATGAAATGAAAAGGACCGAAAACAACACCTCATGAGCTGAAACGACTGGTCATGGATCTGATGGCCCCGCCAAATAGTAAAGTGACAGAAAGAAGAGACGCACTATATTCGCTTTCTAGTCTAATTTGTCCGTTTCGTGTGCGAGAAGAGAGAACTACAAGACAAAAAAGGAGGAGGAAGAAAATCAGAAAACGTCCACTTGCACCTCCAGGCTCCACCCATTCCTCGCTCATTTTCAATCATCCATCAGCCACAAGAAAATAATAAAAATGGCCCCACCCAATCAGTACAGCTAGCTAGCTAGCAGTGATCCGCCGTCCGCATTTTTTTTACCATTTAGTTGTCCCATTAGCTATTTTTTATATCAGCTAAGCAATCCAGATCCAACAACTCAGAAACCAATGATTCTTCGAACAAACTAACAAAAACCAGCAAATTTGAGAGGAAGGGAGTGAGTATTTATCGAAGACCGTTGTAGACTTGCATTACGTGATGCAAACTTCTAAGTATTAGAGAGAAGAGGAACCAATGAGAGGTTAGTTGGATTGGCCTGAGTTTTTTATGCGCTCCCAAGCAACCTTAGGTTTGAGTCCCATGCTACTATGCGTGTGAGTTTCTCCTCTATCCTTTCTAAGTCTGGCCAAAAACAATGAGAGAGAAGATGAAGAGAATTCCCCATAACGCAACCATATAAATCTTTTCCTTTGGGTGGTGAATGGCCTTGAAATTCATTAGAGCTCGAGCTAGAGAAAGTAATGGTTGACAGAGTAGGGCATAAATTTCTTATGGCCGTCTGTGAGAAAAGAAAAAGACGGGTGAGACTAAGAGGAAGTTTTTCTTTCGGTCTGCCTGGACTAAGAGGAAGGTGAAACAACACATGACAAAAATAACAACAGAATCATTTCATTTAAAGCAGATTATCAGACAAAAAGCTCTGGGTTACGAGCCGAGAGAGGCCACTTACAATTCCAGTAATATCTAAACCATTTCAGACATTAGTACGCATAGTAATCACAATTGCTAAAACCAACCAACCAGGATACGAAAAGAAAAACCATGTAAAATCAACCCCCTACTGTTTCTGCTACCGTATGAAGCAAGCGAGCGCCAATAACGCATTTTCTTCTAGGCCTTTTCTAAACCTAACCACTTATCCAGTCATCATCAAACCCAGCAGCTGATAGGGTAGGGACCACTCTCCACACCGATCTCTGCTTACCAGTGGTGGACTCAATTGAAAGCGTTCATGTCAAGTATTTGATGGATGAAAAGGTCATATCCTTTAACTTTTCTTCTTTGATAGCTCAAGCTGAAACAAACAAACAACACATCAGCAAAGCTTCACTGTTGCTCATCTACTTCCTAAATTAAGATCTCCAATAGAAAGGCGGCCATTTAAACTACTAAAAACAAACAAAACCAATATTTTTAATAGAAAGCAAAAGCACAGCCTCAACTTTAGATCATATAAGCATTCCCATCAACTACAATGAACACAGAAATAAAAAAAGGTAATGAACAAAGTCAAAAGCAGCCTCCACAACAAAGGTGTAGCAACCCCATACGGCAACCAAGCAGAGGGCACAGGACTGGTGATCTCTGTGAGGAGTCACCCGCTATAGCAAACAATGCCCCAAAGCTAATCCATTTTGAGACAAGCTGATTGAACGGAAGTAAAGGTCACCTTTTAACAGTACAGAAAGGATGCAGAACAAGAAATAATTGACCTCCTACTAAAAGCATCTCTTCAGATGTAATCCAGTGCTCTACCTTAAGGAAGTATGTATATGTAGCTGCATTGGCTCCAGAAATTTCAAGACAATACCTGGAAACAATCGCCAAAAAGGAAACTAAAGCAATCAAATACATAAATAGTAATCACAAATCTCACCACTCATGGAACACAAACAAAACAGAAAATGGACCAGAAGATTCTAAGCACATCCGTTCAAAATGAAGAACAGTAACATGAGGAGAAAGTGTCGCACCACGGTCGCATCTCTTGGACAGCTTTGTAATGGGCAGAGACAATATTGAACATGCGAGCATATGCATATAACATCCCTCGCACCAAGGAAACGATAAACAAAAAAAAAGAAAAGAAAATCAAAAGGGGGCCAGAAAATTGCACAAAGCAAGACAAATTCGTAACAGTTCACACAACAAAATCCAATCTGTATCTGATTCCTCATTGTCAATATAAAATGACTTCCTAAATGACAATTGTAAATCAAGCTTAACCTGGATTCAGGAAAAGATTTAATGAGATTTCAATCATACATTAACAAATTTGGTTCTCTTACAAGTTGAATATTTTATCCAGCTGTAAAGTGCAAGGCAATCAGTTAACCAGAACCATTCAATATGGAATTCATTAGGTGACTGAGAAACAATTGACCAGGAACTGAGAAGCAAATTAAGTTCAGCATAAGCAGATAACAGTATGCCTAAAGTAAGTTGAGTTAAGATCTCACACTTATAGAACTTGATATCTGCCTTGCTGAGCTCCACCAGGAAGTGATAATGCCTGATTTGAGATATCTTCCAAAACACGTTTTAATTCTGCTTTAGCTCTCTTGACAGACTGTTCAGTAGGGCCCTCAATAAACAAGTAGAGTTTGCGATCTCCTGGTCCTGCAACCTTGCCTGGTGGGAAATACTGACCCCTCGTAGTAATGGCAGCTCCAGTCCACTCTGATATAGGTCCCAAAGTTTCCTTGTGGGTAACCTTCCATCGAGCATTCTGTGGAAAATCATTTATCTCCAACTCTGCTTCATAGTGTTCAGGCATTGCATCAGCTTGGATCTTTGCCAGATTATGCTGCAAGTTCATCGCAGCTGCAATTGCTGCAGCCCGAGCTGCCCCATCATTGCCAACAACAGGCAAACCAGTCCCAGCCACAGCTGCTGCTGTTCCTGGTAATGTTAGACCAAGGACACCTGGAAGAGAAACAGGCAGTCCACTGTTGGGAAGCAGTTGGGCAGCAGGCACAGGGGTCTGAATTGAAGCTGTACTACCTTTAGAGGCAGCAGCAATGGCTGCTATCTGAGCAAGGGCAGCCTGCTGTGAAATGTCTCCCCCTGCCTTTCGGATACCTTCATCTTCATCTTCTGAATCTGACTTGTCATCCTCAAAACCATATTCTTTGGCTTGTGCTTTCTTTGCTGCTCTCCTCACTTCATCTTCCTCTTCATTAAATTTAAAACCACTTCCTCCATAACCAGTTCCATGGGCTTGCTCGAGTCCCTGATTTACTTTTGCGGTGAAACTATCCGCAAGAGATTTCAGGTCATCTGGAACAACTTGCTCAGAGAGTTCCAATGCTTTGACAAGATCTGGAGCATATCTAGCATCTTCCTCAGAGACAAACGTTATAGCACAGCCTTTCCGACCAGCTCGCCCTGTACGGCCAACGCGGTGAACATAGTCTTCATAGTGATTTGGACTATCAAAGTTGATCACCAGTTCAAGCTCCTTGACATCTAACCCTCTCGCAGCAACACTAGTTGCAATCAACAAATTACAAACATTGCTTTTAAAATCAGTTATGGTGGACTCACGATCTGTTTGATCTTTGCCCCCGTGAAGTGAGAGACAAGGATATCCATGCCTCAGCAGATCCCTAAATAAAGCATCACATTTATTCTGTGACTCGACAAATATCAAAATTTTTCCTTTCTCATACCACTCCCCAAGTAACTCTAACAATCTCAAGAACCTTTCATTTTCCAGCCTCACTTCAACCAATTGTGCTATGTCCTTATTCACAACACTCCTACCACCAACTTGTATTTCCACAGGTTTGTTCAAGACTTTGCGTGCCAAGACTTCAACCTGGCGAGGGAAGGTGGCAGAAAACAATACAGTTTGACGATCTGGCCGAATATTTTGAACAATTCGAGTGATTTGAGGTTCAAAACCCATGTCAAACATTCGATCAGCTTCATCCACTACCAAATACGTTACTCTACGCAGATTTGTTATTCTCCCTCCACTTGTACAAAGTATGTCAATCATCCTACCGGGAGTACAGACAACAATTTCAGCTCCCCTCTTCAATTCACTAATTTGTTGGGCAACACCAGAACCTCCATACACAGGCACACACCTGAGACCCAGTACCTTGGTAAACTTTTTAATGTCACTGTGAATCTGCTGAACAAGCTCCCTAGTTGGTGCCATTATAAGCCCAATAGGTCCATCTCCTGCTACCACAGGTGGCTGGTCCTTGATATGCCTCAGCATTGGCAGCACGAATGCAACAGTTTTGCCTGACCCAGTTTTTGCGATGCCAATACAATCTCGACCACTCATAATTACAGGCACTGCCTGAGCCTGAATTGGCATTGGCTTTTCATAGTTTAGCTTCTTTATTGTTTCCAAGATTTTACTTGTAAGCCCAGTTTGGTGCCATGTCTTGATCGGCTTTGGCACATCCTTACCATGTATCTTCAATTCCAGTTCTTTCCGATATGCACCCACCTGTTCTGGAGTCATTCTAGAGATCTCCTTCACCTCAATATAGAAATTTTTGCGGAATGGATCATAATCTATCTTAGAGTGATCAACTACAGAAAGCTTCTCAGCTTTTGTCTTTTTCACCCTTTTTATGAACTCATCATCACCTTCATCTTCTAAGGGGTCATCATCATTCTCAAGGTCCCCATAATCCGAGTCAGAATCCTCCCCAGGAATTATTCTGCCCATAGATTTATTTGAACCTCTCCTTGGCTGTTCACCATTACTTCGATCATCCTTTTTATCCTTGTTCTTCTCATCAACAATTGATGGTTCCACAGCATTGTTCAGCTTCTCAACTTCAGGCAACACCATAGAATTCATAAAAGCATCTAATGGGTCAACTTCTTCATCACCAACAGCATCATCAGCCCCATTCTGCAAAGTAGGTGCATCTGTTTCATTCTCAGAATCTACCACCATAGCATCTCCGCCAGCTTCTCCGTCAGTCAGATTGTCTTCACCATCAACATCCATATCCCTCTCTGATTTCCCTAATGAGGGTACTTCTTCATCATCAGATTCTCCTTCAAGAGTCCAGGCCTTGCCGGACTTAGGTTCATCAACATCCCCTTCCCCACGTTTCTCTCTCTCAGATTCTTCCTTCTTCCTTTTTAACTCTTGCCACTCCTGAACTCTCCTTCTCCGCTTTTCCATTTCCTCATCCAATTTCCGCTGTTCATCCTCTAACTCCTCCTCACGAGTTGGCTGCTTCTCTTTCTTAACTGAATCATCTTCATCACTCTTCTTTCTCGGGCTCCCATCTCCATCATCCCTATGTCTGTTTGACCTGCTGCTACTCCGTTCCCTCTCTTTCTCCTTGTACTCATTTTCATCTTTCCTATGCCGCTTCCTACCACGCTCCCTAACATCATCATCAGTATCATCAGTATCAATGTCCCTGCGCCTCTCCCTCTCCCGTATCCTCCTCTCTCGATCTCTGTCCTTTTCCCTCTCCCTCTCTCGCTCCCTCTTTTCCCTCTCTCTATCTTCTCCCTCTCTTTCTCGTTCCCTTCTCTCCCTCTCTCTTTCTCGTTCCTTTTCTTTTTCTTTTTCTTTTTCTCTTTCTTTCTCTCTATCTCTTTCTTTTTCTCTTTCTCTTTCCCTTTCTCTTTCCCTCTCCTTTTCCTTCTCTCTAGCCCTCTCTCTCTCCTTCTCCTTCTCCTTCTCTTTATCTTTTTCTCTCTTCCTGTCTCTCGTTCTCTCTCTTTCATCATCCCGGCTTCGTGTCCTATCAGTGTCCCTGTCTCGATGCTTCTCTCTATCATACCTATCCTCAGAATCAGAACTCTTTTCTCTCTCAGAGCGCCGACTATCACGATCTCTCTTATCTTTATCTTTATCCCTGTGTCTCTCTCCATTCCTCTCTTTTTCGCGTTGCCGATCTCGATGACTCCTCTTGGATTCCCCCTCCTTCCTGGATTTATGCTTGCCCTCTTCCATTTCTTTCTTCCTATGCCACTCATAAACACAAAAATCAGTTCTCATTCCAAGTATGGACAAGAAAACACAAACAGAAAACCCTAACACCACTCTACTTGCATAATCCAACATGAATTCTAATTCCTTCCAATGTCTTTTCAAATTAAAGCAATTAAAATTACCAAAGCTTGATTTTACATTTACATTAACATTAACAATAACAGAACAAAGCGAGCACACAATAACATGTAAATTATAAATCAAAGGAAACAGACAACTTTATCCCATTGAAGAACAAACAGAACAATATATGTACAGTGAAACTAAGGTGGTCTTTTTTTAATCTTAAATCTGAATAGACCTTTATTGAACTTAAATCTTGATAGACCTTATAACACACGCTTTAATACATATCTTTCTTTGGTTTTTAAATCTTAAAACAAGGGTTAAGTTTGTCTGATCATAGTTGCCTAATTCGCTCACGCCCCTACGAATTTCGATCTGGATCGAGCGTACCCAATTGCGGTACGGTATCGATCTGGAACGAAAGATTTAACGACTCAGTTCCAGAGGAGAGAACAGTACCTGATAGACGACGTCGCTGCTACACCACAGTACCTGACCGCCGACAGCACACGAGCAATCGAGGGCACATGAGGGAGAGTGCTATAGCTGATGAGCCCACGTTTGATTCTTGGTCTCTTGGTCTCTTGGCGTAAGGGTAGGGAAGATCTTTGGGTTCGGCGAGGATTTTTTTGGACGAATAGATTCGAAGAGGTGGGATGGGTGATAGGGCTGGGTGATAAATGGATAGGCGTAAGAGCAGTTCCAGCGGACAGCCCAGCCCACCTGGTCTCCCAAAATCAGCTCCAGCACGGGCAGGGCAAGGCCCAAGGCAAGATAGGCGCTGATGTCAGCAAAGGAAACAAAATTAAAAAAAAATTCTGAAAAATTACCAAAAAATTTTATACATACCTAGCAAATTTTTATTTATTAATCTCATACTTGTAAATAAAACTAATCTCATGTGAATAGTAATTGTCTTTGAGTTGACATGACAATAGGTGAAAAACACACACAAAATTGCTATGGTATATACTATTCAAGTTAACAGTAACTATCTTTACTTGCTCTTGGGTGGAAGTGCTTTAAGAGGGAACGTATTAGAGGTTGGGTGGGTCAGTGTGTCAATATAATAAAAGTACTGTTTTTAGTTTCAAGAATTCAGTCTTGTTCTCCTGGATCCTGTGGTCCAAGGAAGTTGTGGTTACCTATCTTTGGATCTAATCTAAGGGTTGAGAAAAAACTTGTTTAAATATCAATATGTCATCTTCTATTTTACTTTTACAGTAATAAAATGCTATTTTAGTTATTAAAACTATTTTTTTTAAGAAGAGTTTAAAATCAGAGATGAAAAACATGAACAAATAACTCATCTGCATCTAAATGAACCTTTCATGATGCTAGTCATCTTATGCCTGGTGTGAAAACATGAACCTTTCATGAAAAAATATATTTTTTCTTTTCCATAAAGCTAAATACAAAAACATTTATATTATAAATAACTTATAAACAAATTAGAAAGTTTTAGATTTGAGAGGGTGAGGAGGGATGCATAAATCTCTAGATGTTGGCATCTTAATTGTTCGTTATATTGCCCCTGCCTTCTTATAGGCCATTGCACGGACACATATACGCAACATGGGGAAACGGTAAATCTAAAAAAACTAGGACAAGTGGACACCGCAATTAAAAAATAATAATTTATAATAATACTTATATATTTTTTTAAAACAAGATATTGATGTTCATACTCAAATTTCACAGCACTATATGGTGAAATTCAAGCTTTCTAAGTCTTTCAAATGTAGTTTATTAATCTATTAATTGAATGAACACACTAGTTGATCCTAAGTATGAGTTGACCCGTGTCTGGAGAGTGTCTTAACCATGTATGGAGAGTGTCTTAACCGTGGACACGGGTGTCCACAGAGGAGTGTCTGACACTCCGACACTTGAGCTTAGTGGAGTGTCCATGCAACATAGCTTACATGCATCTTTGTTGTTTAAGGGGCACTAAAATTTGGTTTGGTGCACTCTGATCCAATGAATCTGTTTATTCTTCTGCTTCAGATTGCACTACCACCTGCGATGACATTAGGTATGCCCTTCATAACATGGCAACTCAGTTATCATTCTGTGGACTTACGTTTGGTCCGCTGCCTTCATGTGGCTTGTGGCCCAAGTGTAAAACAGCTACAAAACATCCATGCCCCATTGAAGCAAAATTTTACATCAACCTTCTAATTGAATAGAATATTACGACCGTAGGCAATTTGTCAAATTGTAAACAATACACACGACAATTTCCGAATTAAATGCAAAGTTGAGCAATCCACTTTTGCTGATCGATCCTAAGATTTAACAACTGCAAATATGCTTGAGGAAAGCAAATAAAATCCACTACTACAGAATATCTAGCCATAAGGATCCAAATAAAGCCATCCCGATCCACATTTGCTTCATCAAAGAGAAGCCTTGTTCAGATCATCAAAGAGAAGCCTTGTTCAGATCATCAAAGTAAGGGTGTTCCATAGCTTTCTTTGCTGAAATGCGTTTTGCAGGCTCATATTGCAACATTTGCTGCAAGCATAAATATTTACAGCAGGTATTACTTACAATGCAGAATAATATAGTACTATATACAGAAGTTCCAACCATTTTGAGTAGAGCAAACTGACATACCAATAACAAATCCAACCCCATCGCATCCAAATTGGGAACAGCCTTGGACAAACTTTGAGGGCTCCACTGGGGGTATTCATGCCAGTTCATGAGTTTGCTTACACCTGGCCACACTTCTTCATTTGGAGTACCTAACAACCTACAGGAAAAATTCATAAAGACCTATTAGTCCAACTGATAAGGAAGAAAGTAGATGGCACATCTTTTTTTATAAGAAAGAACTGGAAGCAATATTGGTGAACCTGAATATATGTAGGAGCTGCTGCAGTTCAGAATCCCCGGGGAAGAGTGCTTGCTTCGTGACAAGTTCAGCTATAAATCAGATAGAATATAATGTTAAACCAATGACACAACTGTAAAATTCAATTATATTGAAGTTCAAACACACTGTAGGAAACTGATCAGTACCAAATATACAGCCAACAGACCAGATATCCACTGCAGTTGAGTAATGTGTAGCTCCCAGAAGGACTTCAGGAGCCCTATACCACAGGGTCAATATCTGCAACAGAAATTCCTCGAATTCATTGGCTACTGGCAAAGCATCAAGATAACTTGTAACAAACTACTGCTCACACAGAGAATGAGAAAGCCTCCAGTACCTCATGAGTATACTTCCTGAGTGGTACAGTAAAGGCTCGAGCTAGTCCAAGATCAGCAATTTTAAGCATCATTGTCTTGCGGTCCATGAGGAGATTGTGAGGCTTAAGATCCCTGCATAATATGCAGTAAAATAAAATGACCCAATTAAAAAGGAAATTCAATTAGAACTTAACAAATAAAAAGAGAAAGAACTAGCATGTAAATTTATGAATAAATTTAACAAAAGGTTACCTGTGTAAGATTCCATGACCATGGCAAAAGGCAACACCTTTGCAAAGTTGGTACATCAGGCTCTGCATCATCAGAAATCACAATTCTATTTACATTTGTGTTTAAGTTGATAGGGAACAAATAATTGGGGGAAGCAGAATTCGAAACCAACCTTAACGATGGGGGAAGGTATGTATTCTCCAGATTGACGGAAGGTGCGGATGTACTTCTTAAGATCAGTGTCCATGTACTCAAACACCAAGTAAAGCACAGTCTTGCCTTCCTTGTTCTGCCCTTGTTTCACATCCATCAACCTATGAAATTGGCGTAGTGGGTTTTAGGGTTTCGTTAATTGACAGACAGTTGATTAACAAACGCAATAAAATTATAGACAAGAAGAACAAAAGATTGAAAAACTCATCTCCGTCAGATTAATTGAAATTCCTAAAAAAGAAATCAAACCCTAGTTGGAGAATCAAAGGAAGAAAAGAAAGGGCAAGCAAGCAACCTGACGATGTGGGGGTCTCTGGAGAGCATGCGCAAAATGGAGACCTCACGGAGAGTGGTGGGAGGGACGCCTTCCTCGTCCTCATGGAGACGAGTCTTCTTGAGGGCCACGATCTTCCCAGTCGCCTTCTCCCTCGCTCTGTAAACCTTCCCGTACGTTCCTTCTCCCACCTTCTCAAGCTTCTCGAACGCATCCATCGCCGACACTGTTGTTGTATTCGCTGCCTTCGACTCCATTTCTCTCAATTTCTCTCTCTCTCTGATTTCAATTTTCAAGTGACAACGTGCTTAAGAGCGTGAGCGTCCGATTTATATAACCGTTAAGGGTAAATAGGGGAATTTCTGATCTTTGCCGCAACGGCAACTCTTTTTGAAATTCAAATTCTCCAAGCCACCGTTTGCCCCCCTTTTATTTTTTATCTTTTCCATAAAACCCCGCGCCTCGTTTCTATATTTGGACCAATTCTTGTTCAGCTAAATAATTTAGGCCTAAACAGTCCAATGAAAAACCAAAATGAAATATTTGGGCCTACCATCCCCATAAGGCCCAATTTGACAGCCTATAATAGAAACAAAATAATATCTCCAACTCTGCTCTGCACTTCTGCATGCTTGATTTCAGGTTTTCAGTTTTACATTCTAAAATGTCCTATTCAATGTTGCAGAGAGGCTATAATGACGGGTTATAATGAAGGGGTCCTTAATAGCCCAATCTAGAGCATAGTTATTATTGGACTGTTGGATTGAACTCCCTCATTGTCCCTCAACATAGCCCCTCATTATAGAAGCTCCCTCAATATTGAGAGATTTTAGAATACTACGGTAGTACGATCACATGATACATCTTGTATGGCCATGTCGTCCACCCATATCTTAACACGTGTACAAGATGTAACACATGGCCATACTACCATAGTATTCTATAATTTCTCCTCAATGTTGACAAAAGGAAGAAAAACTAATTGCTAAAAGCTCCATTAAGAAAAGAGAGAGAACACATCAAAGTTATTCATACAAAACCTTTATATACAATGGGGAAACATCAAAAGTTATTTGATTTCTCCATCCACTACATGAACACTATTATACTACAGTTACATCTAACTATAACTCTGAATAATTTACATTACAACCGGCCTACACTATGGGGAGGAAAGACAAAAACCAAAAATCCCTTTTCTAACATCCCCCACCAGTCTACCACTACCCGGTAACTGAGCACGCGTGTGACGATGAAAGAAAACCAACCCAGCCAACTCCCTCTTCCACTTGTTTTGGTGGTACACATGAAAAGGGTGGGCAGGTTCTAACTTCTTAGATTTAGCCTTACATTCCGAATGTTCACTGATATCTTTAACTTCTGTTCTTCCATATCCTTCAAAATGGCAAGTAGCTTGGCTCGATATGCTTCACACTGCTGACTTGCAATGTCCAACTCAGCTGCCAATTCCTTAATTTTCTTATCCTGATCCTACAAAAATGAAATGAAGGAACAGTAATTAGTTATAACAGACATCATGGAGCGAAGCTAGAAGAAAGCAACTAACAGAATCAAAGGCATGAAAGAACAAGAGGAAACTCTGAACAAGAATTCTCGAGTTGGGACAATTTTCAAGTCCTTTTGGCCTTCTTTCCCCAAATTCCTCTCAAAATATCATTTAGTATCACTAATCCATAGATTGAGTATATTTTTCTAAAATCTAAAACAAAAACCAAAGCCAAAATCTATACTAGAAAACCAAATAGCGGAATCTATGCTTTAGAAACTGAAAATCTGATTTCCTAGCACATTTTAATTTGATATGAATGAAAACCCTATCTGATCTCTAGAACATCTTTTCAGATTTTGTGACAGAAGCACACAATTATGTATTGGAAACATACAACAAAATGTTAAAATTTCAGAGGCCAAACAAAGCTCACCACAGTACAAGACTGAAGCTGCTGGCTGCAATTAATTGAAGTACTCTGTAAAACCCCAAGACCATGCTTCTTTGCAGCAGTAACCTCGCTAGCAGCCTCATGAAGAGCGTCCATTGCCACATTATAAACACGCACAGATTCTGCTCCTTCTTCTACATATTTGATAGCTTCCCTGCGTAGATTGTCATACCGAACAGCAGAGGAGTCTTGAGAATCATTTGGCAACCCAAGAGTGTGCTCATCCCATACAACTCCACTTTTGGCATTTTTGGTCCAACGTTTCAATATATAGTGATTTGGAAGTGTAAGAACATTAGTTACTCTGAAAACAGCTAATATGTGCCTACATATAATACCTGAAAACTCAAACATTTGGCAGCTACAACTAGATTTCTTCTCAAAAACATTGAACCTAACAAAGTACACTTTGTGATCTTCCCCGAATTTTGCTACCCGATACACAGTTTCTGATCCTGTATCATCAACCATAGTTGCAGGATAAGCAAGTGTCTCGACTAATTCCTCTTGGAATTTCATGAAAACTACCCTTGTATAAAGTTTTGCAGCTTGTTTTTCCATTGGAGATGGAGTCCTTAGAATTGGAGAGATGTTCATTGTATCATAATCTGCCTTTACTTCCTTTTCATGGCGAGTGGCAATAGCTTTTTCATACTGCTTTATTAGCACCTGAATATTAGTTGATGCATTTATATAGCCATCAAAGTATGAGTTTATATTATCACTTCCTTGGGTTACAGACATCTCCCCAAAAAATGTATCCCGAAGGAAAACTGGCACCCATTGCTGGCGAGCATCATACATGGACTGAAGCCACTCATTATCCCCAATATCATACCTTTGAAGAAGGGACTCCCAACATGACTCAAATTCATCAATTGTCTCTGTCATATTGATGCACCTCTGAAACTCGGCTTCAAATGTGGGGTGTGAGTGATATATGTCGGACAATTTCTCCTGAGCTTCCCGCAACACATTCCATTTACAAAATCGGTGGCGAGTTCCAGGGAATACTTGCCCGACAGCTGCCCGAATGATTCTATCCTGGTCTGTTGTGATTGAGACAGGATGGCGGGTAGACATTGCAGCTAGCCAAGTCTGAAATAGCCAAACAAATGAAGACTCTGACTCATTAAGGAGTAATGAACATCCAAATAAAACAGGTTGCCCGTGATGATTCCACCCAGTAAATGGGGCAAATGGGACCCGGTATCGGTTTGTCCTATATGTTGTGTCAAATGTAACAGTGTCTCCAAAGTAGTCATAATTCATTCTTGAATTTGAATCAGCCCAGAAAATGTTTCCTGTTAAATTCTCAAAATCACCCTGGACGGCAAAAAAGAAGCCAGGATCTTCAGCCTGCATTCGCTTCAAATAGTCAAAAACAAACTGACCCCCACTCCCGAGAGTTCTCTGCCTGCTGCTACTCATATAATTCTGGCAATCGACTTTTGTGAAACCAACATTATTAATTCCACCTGATTCTTTGATCAGCACAGACATCACACCACTAGGACCCATACCAGCCGCTTGAAGGGTATCAATCAGGCTTCGAGCAGGCCCAGAGACATGCCTATGTGAACGGAGACAATGCACCTTATCTGGAGGCACAAGCTCATGATTATGTTCCTTAACTAGTTTCGAAACAGCCCATCTTCCTGAACTCTGTTTCTTCACAGTCATCTGTGCTTTACAACCGACTCTAGTGACTGTACGCTGCCGCTTGGACCTATTTTCACCTCCGTCACGGCGAAACCCTTCCCGGGAACACACTACTTGGCGGCATATAATGGAGCCATCTCGACGAGACCGCTGGTACACGCTGACCCGGGTGCTGAAACCAATTCGACGTGCATATGAATTATAGAAAATGCGTGAGGCCTGTTCGGAATCGAATTCCATGCCCTCATAGGGTTCAAGATTGGGGTCTCCACTAGCCAGATCATCACGAGACCTAGTAGAATTAGAGGATTGGACTAAATCATCATCGAAAATATCATAGCTATCATCTGGGTGTTCTAAGTCAAGGGCAGTGGCGTCATCTTCGCCCGAACCACCCATGTCAAACTCCACCGCTTCGTTCTCAATATTCAGAGGCTCAAAGTCCATGACTGATTATAATTTATATGAAAATCATGATTATATATATAGTCTCTAACTTCTCCATTGATTGATATTTTCAATTTATATTGGCACGTCCATAAGGATTAAGCATTAAGGTGGGGTTTATGGCTGCACTGCACTATACACCAAAATTAAAACCCAGTTTACTACCACTACTCTACTGGGGTAGTGGCACTGGCAGAAATTAAGAGAGAGAGAGAGAGAGAGAGAGAGAGAGAGAGCTTAACTAAGCAACAGGGTATGGAAATTTGCAGTTGCAGGCGAGCTTCGGAGGACCAAGAGAGAGAGCTTAACTAAGCAACAGGGTATGGAAATTTGCAGTTGCAGGCGAGCTTCAGAGGACCAAAACGACGCAGTTGAAGTTCAACTTCCTGCTTTAGGGTTTTCCATTTTTGAAGGCAATGTGAGAGAAAAGAAAGTAAAGAACTTCGCAGTTTTGGTTGAGTTCAGTTGACTGTTTTGAGAGTTGAGAGCGATGGGATGGGAGGGAATTTTGGGGGTTTGAGGGTTTTCAGTTTGGTTTTGGGGGAAAACACTTTTGGGTGTCACAGAGGAAGATGGAACTTTCTTCTCCTTATGGAGTGGCAGTGATCTGATGTTGCGCGACGTTCCTTAGTAGTCTCTTATGGCCACTGAGCAGTACGAGCTTATTCGGGAGAAGAAATCCATTTTACTTTTTACATTCCGACCCAAATGTCACAGACTCACAGCTGACATGGATTTGGCGTAATGTGTTTTTTTTTGGGCGAAACAGTAGAGATTCAATTGATAACAAGGCAAAAATCCAGATACACCAGTATGAACACAGCCCCATAAGGAGGTTCTTGCAATACATAAATTGAAAAAAAAAAACATAATCAACTAAGCACAAGTATTACAAGACAGTTAGAACAAATATACATCTTGAAACCCAGCTAATAAGGAGTTACAAATGAGGAGGACCCAAATCCCTGCAACAACCATTGCTTCAAGAAGATTAAGGCAGAAAACAATCTCTCAAACATCATGGGATAGGAAACACCCCAAGAGTGGAGGGCATAACCGCTCAACTTCCACCAAGGCATTCCAAAGAATATCACAGCATCTCCTAATCCCCACTTGATCCCCAAGCACAATATATTATAGATTCACCAAATTCAATAGCTCCACCTCCAATACAGAGAGATCAACACGAGATCTACCACAAAAGCAACATATCTAACAAGATGGTGTAATGTTGTTTGGTGTCAATTTTGATATATTTCACTTCTAGCATGAATTTGTTTGTTTCAATTATTTTGTTCGTGAACCTCATATTTCATCTAGGATTCTGTTTGCCTCCTTCTGTGTAAGGAGATACTCTTCCTTCTTGCGAGTCATAGTTTGACACATATGCAAAAATAATTTACCATAAACACAAAAAGAAAAACTTTCGCACACATGTCACACTGATATTGACAAGAATGTAGGAACTCCTTCTTACATGGTAAGGAATGAAGTATTTTCCTTTCACCTATATATATATATATATATATATATTGTTCTCTACCATTGAGGGATGCCTTTTAGAATACCCTATGAATTTTTTCCTAACGGTCCAAGCCATCTATTTTAAAGTCTACATTCATAGATCATGGAAAAAAAAAAAAAAAAAAAAAAAAAAAAAAAAAAAAAAAAAAAAACGGAAACTGTTTCTCACATTATATCCCTACAAAATAATAATAAAATAAAAGTGCTTCAAAAAAGTACTAAAATTTCAATAACACAATTGAAGTGGTCAAACGAGTATCAGGATTCAAGTGATTTTTTATTGAGATGATCTTTGAATAATTATCTAAAACATAGACGGTTTGGATTAGTGAAATGCAATGCGGAGTGGGCCCTACAAAGGTGTCCCTCAAATAAGCTAATTTGAGGGATCCCTCAAATAACTTATTTGAGGAACACTCTTGTAGGGCTCACTTCGTATTGTATTTCATTAATCCAAACGTCTATTTTGTAAATACTCATTCTAAGATCATCCCTACAAAAAATCACTTGAATATGATATCATTTTACCACTCAATTGAATTATTGAAATTTTAGTACTTTCTTGAAGCACCGTGTTAATTGATTTTGTAGGACACAATTGGATATTGAAAGGGTTTCCGATTTATCTAAATTTTTGCAAGGATGATCTATGAATATATACTTAAAAAATAGATTGTTTGAATCGTTGAAAAAAAATATTCGTAAGGGACCCTAAAGGGTGTCCCTCAAATAATATTATTTGCGGGATCCTTCAATAGAAATGGACTGTATATATATCAGAGAGCTTCTATTGAGAGATCCCTCAAATAAGTTTATTTGAGGGACACCCCTTGTAGGCCCCACTCCGGTTTGTATTTCACTAATCCAAACCGTCTATTTTGTAGATACTCATTCAAAGATCATCTCTACAAAAAATTACTTGGATCCGATATCATTTGACCACTGATTTGAGTTATTGAAATTTTAGTACTTTCTTGAAGCACCGTGTTCATTGATTTTGTAAGACATAATTGGATGTCGAAACGGTTTCCGATTTGTCTAATTTTTTGTAAGGATGATCTATGAATGAAGACCTAAAAAATATATGGTTTAGATCATTGAGAAAAAAATTGTAGGGTACCCTAAAGGGCATCCCTCAAATAAAATTATTTGAGGAATCCCTCAATAGAAGGGGACATATATATATATATATATATCCCCTCAAATAAGCTTATTTGAGGTAGGGCCCACTCTGGATTGTATTTCACTAATCCAAACCGTCTATTTTGTAGATACACATTCAAAGATCATCTCTACAAAAAATCACTTGAATCCGATATCATTTGACCATTCAATTGAGTTATTAAAATTTTAGTACTTTCTTGAAGCATTGTGTTAATTGATTTTGTAGGACACAATTAGATGTTGAAACGGTTTCTGATTTGTCTAATTTTTTGTAAGGATGATCTATGAATGAAGACCTAAAAAATAGATGGTTTGGATCATTGGAAAAAAAAAATTATAGGGTACCCTAAAGGGCATCCCTCAATAGAAGGGAACTATATATATATATATATATATATATATATACATACATAGAGAGCTTCCATTGAGGGATCCCTCAAATAAGCTTATGTCAAGGACACCCCTTGTAGGCTCCACTCCGGATTGTATTTCACTAATCCAAACCGTCTATTTTGTAGATACTCATTCAAAGATCATCTCTATAAAAATCGCTTGAATCCGATATCATTTGACCACTCAATTGAGTTATTGAAATTTCAGTACTTTCTTGAAGCACCGTATTCATTGATTTTGTAAGACACAATTGGATGTCGAAAAAGTTTCCTATTTGTCTAATTTTTTGTAAGGATGATCTATGAATGAAGACCTAAAAAATATATGGTTTGGATCATTGGAAAAAAAAAATTGTAGGGTACCCTAAAGGGCGTCCCTCAAATAAATTTTTTTGTAGAGATGATCTTTGAATGAGTATCTACAAAATAGACGATTTGGATTAGTAAAATACAATCTGGAGTGGGGCCTACAAGGGGTGTCCCTCAAATAAACTTATTTGAGGGATCCCTCAATGGAAGCTCTATGTATACAAGCATTCATAAAGAAGCTGTAAATTTTTGCTCTGGAAAAAGACCCAAAACCCCAACAACATTATACTTCTAAACGAAGTATGCATCACAATTGCAAACATCATACATGATTTTATTGAACAATTAAGGATGCATTCTATATCGCCCTTGAAAATCAACACTAGAGTACTGGGATAAAGTAATCTTCCAAGAGATTCTTACCCCAAGAGTGTCTATGTTTGTCCACATTAGGGCCACAAATGGGTTGTGAACCATGGTGGTTTTGGTTTGACTGATCGAGCATACCCACTGCTAAAACAACTTCTTCATCATCTGCTTCCCACTCCCTTTCTTCTTCAGTACGTTTACACATTCTTTCTTTATTTTCTTGCTCGGCCCTTTCCAATAACCTCCTCGTGTAAGATATTGAAAGTAGAATGTGTTTTGTAAAATTTGAGAAATGAAAGGATAGAGAGGATATGGAAATTTTGTTGTGAGATAGGATTGAGAAGATAGAGATGACACGTTGTGCAATAGTAGCAACCTAAAATTTTATCCGAAATCTGAGTGATGCTATTTCCATCTGCCTGTCCTATTTTCCCACTCACCTTATTTTCAAAATTTTAAAGATGAATTTATCCCTTTGTAAAATGACTTCTAACGACCTAAACAAAAAAACTTTTTAAAAGCATTTCATACAAAACAATAAACTAAAATAAAAATAAAACAACATTTTTTCATTACGTTGGATTTGGTGGTAGCGATGAAATGAATTTGTGTTCCTCGTTTCCTCCTTTCTTTTTTTTTCTTTTTTCAAGATTCTTTCGTGTGGTCTCTTTTTTTTGTTGGTAGTGATTGCTATTTTGAAAAGAAAAACAAAATCAAGTGTCATGGATGCCTTATCCACCCTTTTAATGCAATCGTTTCTCTTTTAAAAAAACTTAGTTGGTGTATGAGATTAAAGCCTCTCCCTCTTCTTCTTTACCTCATTTTTATCTCACATTTCTATACCACATGATGTGGCATATCCATATCATATGTCACATCAATTAAATTAATGAAATGTATTTTAATACAGAAAGTTTAATTAACAGTTTTTTTTTAAAAAATGTTAATAAATCATAAAAGAAAATATAATGTTAAACAATTTTAATTGATGTGATTTTCCACCTCATCTGCCATATAAGGTGGTATGAGAATGTGGTATACAAATGTGGTAAGAGTAGCATTATTCTTTCTTATTGAGTTATTTGTCTCTGACAGATTGATATAAGACTAGAGGTGAATTCGTAAGATTTTTGTGTATAGGTGAATTCACTTTTTTTATATATATATTAATCGTGGCTTTGTCTTGCAGCTTTCGACCCTTAACCCCAATTTCACGTAGAGGTTGAAGAAGCTCTGCACAAA